TTTTTTCTGACATTAAAAAAATTTTTTTTTTTTTTTGATATCGTTCAAATTATTTTAAAAGTTTGCCAATGAAAATGTAAAATCCAATGAAGACATAGGCATCTCTTTACCTTGAACTCATTTTCAAATACAATGTCATCAATTGTCATCATTATAGTGGCACTGATTTGAAGTATGCTAAATTCAACACCTTTGATAGAATACTTTCACCTTACCGCAATTTAAAGAGTTCCTTTTTTATTATTATTGTTATTATTATTATTACTATCATTATTATTATTATTATTATTATTATTATTATTATTATTATTATTATTATTATTATTATTATTATTATTATTATTATTATTATTATTATTATTGTTATTTGAATTGAGACAGTGAAAAAAAGGCGTTGGCACTTCAGCAAAAAATTTTTTTTTTCATCAAATTTTATCAAAATTTAAATGAATGAATTATTATGCATACAGTGAAAATATTCGAAAAAAAAAATTCCAAAATTAATTATAAATTTAAATTTAATTTTACAGAATTAAGTATAATAAAATAACTAAGCCAAACAATACGTGTACATATATAATAATTAGTAATTAAATTTAATATACCATTTAATTTAATTTAATTATGGTTCAGTGACTAAAAATTACTGAAAAATTAGAGTTATTCAGTTTTTTTTTTGCAACTTTCCACATAGCATTATGGTTTTTAGCTTTACTAAAATTTCAATAATTAAATTTGCAAAGTGGCCAATAATAATTAATTAGTTCATCATTATTAAATCTGAATTTGAATTAAATTTCTAATCAAATTTAAAATGCAAGAAATACGCATAAATGTTAATATTACAAAATAAAATGAAATAATGGATAATGAAACTAATAAATATTTTGAATTGATGTAAAATAATAAGCACAGTAATGAAATTATAAAATAATATAAAAGTCAAAAAAAAATTAACTCTAAAACTTATTCTTAATTTGTAAAAAGTTTATAAAAATTATCAAATTTGTTTTGCTATATTTGTAAATAAATTTATTTGTTATCATTTACAATAATTAAATTTTCTCAGTAAGTAAATTTAATAAAAATTAAAATTAATATTAACATTAACAAATTGCTAATATTCAATTTTTTTTTTTTAGCAATAAAAAATCAGAATTTAATTTTTTCAATTTTTCTTCAGTAATTGAATCAGAATTTCCATATATCTTGTAAAAAGCTATCGAATACTTTTGTCATCAATATTCTATGACAAATAATTTTGTAGAAATTTTAACATTTTTTAATTGGTGTGAAAAAAATCTTTTTTCATTTCTATTTTTATTTATTTGTTAAGATAATATTGAAAATTAAATAAATAAAATGTAATCGATATAGTGTGAAAATAAAAGTAAAAAATTAAATTATTAAAAAGATGGTATTTCAGTAAAATTATAAAGTTTTTGAATAAATATTTAAAAGTTTAAAAGTTAATAAATATTCAATTTTAAGCTATTTAAATTCAAAATTATTTTTTATTTTCTTTTACATTTATTACCAAAATTTAAACTTAAATGCATTACATATTAATCGCTATTTTTTTAGACAAACATTTGAAACATATTTGAAATTTAATTAAATTTCCTAAGACAACTGCTTGAAATATAATTTTAGTGATAAAATTTATCATTTATTCATTTTGAAATACTAACAATATTCAGTGATAATTATTGTTTGATTTAATTAATTTCAATTTTTTTTTAAACAGACATTTAATTTAAAATTAAAATTAAAATTAATAAAACTGCAACTTAAGAGTTTCCGACAGAAATATACAATTTTTTGTGTCTTACCTAAATTACAATTCCCTTTTTATTGTTTTATTCCTTTCGTTAAATTTTTCAAAAGGTAAAAAATGAAAAAAATGGAATTTAAAATCAAAAGTGAAATTAAATCAATAATTTAAAAAAAAGAGAATTTTTTTTTTTAAAAAAAAAAGAAGAAAGAAATGAAAACGAAGAAAAATGAATAAATTTATGAATTTACCTTGACCTTACAAAAATTTTTTCATCATTTTTTTTTTCATATTCGTTCGGTTAACAAAAAAATTTACTTTTTGAAATCGAAAATGATTATTCGAAATTGAAAATATAATTTAATTAACTTTTTCAGCTTTAGGAATTTTTTTTTTTTAACTAACTGATTTGAAACTGAAAACATAGCTAATGAATAATTAATTCATTTCGAATTAGAAATATATTAAACCATTCTATTTAGATTTAAACATTTTAATCCATTTTTTTCATCCATAAAAGTTTATCCAAAAGTAAAGGCAAACTTTCTCGTTGTTATTTAGTTTAATTAAAATGAAAAAAAATATAAAAATTATATTCGAATTTGAAGTTCAAAAAAATAAACAATAAAACATATAAATTATAATAAGAATACTTTTGAAATTTTGTAATAATTTTTTTTTTTTGTACTTTTATTATATCATTCAAAAAAGTATGAAAAAAAATTAATTTTTCTTTTTGATTTGTTTTTTTTCAAAATTTGAGTTTTATTTTTTTTTAAAAAATAAAGAAAGAGAGAGACAATTCTATAAAAAATTATTTTATTTTCAAATCCACAACATTGGACTTTACAAATTTGTAAATCATTCCATCACTTTTTTTTTTCATTTTTTTAAATAAAAGAAATTATTTCTTACTGAAAATAGAAATTTTATTTTACATTGTAAAAAAAAATGCAATTTCGATAATAAAAATAAATTAAATTTTTCTTAAAAAATTTCTGGTTTAAGTATAAAAAATAATCGTTGACAAAAATTTGTATAAAAGAAATAATACATTTAATTATTTCAATTTAATTCATCGTTTATAGTAGGTAAGAAAAAAAGGAAAATTTTTACAAATTATTTACAAATTATCAAATAACTTAAACTTTTATTTTTGATCATTCGTAATGCATCGTTAAATTTCAATTAAATAAATTTGAATGAATTATTAAAATCGTTTTATTTCTTTTTATTCTTAGAAACGTTTTTCTTCCCTTCTCTTCTTGCAAATTTTGTTTATTTTATGCAAATTTACATTTGAAATTATGAATATTATTAATTTTTGAAACTTTAAAAACTTCATAATTATTACTATTATTAATTTCTAATTCATAAATTTATTTCCACAATTTTTAATCTATCCTTTTGTGATCAGTATAAATTAAAATAATATAAATTAAAATAAAAATACTAAAGATAAAAATTAGAAATTCAAAGCTCATTTCTTTTTAATTTTAATTTAAATAACAAACATTGATCCTATCAATTTATACATCATTTCATTGAGATTTCTTTTCTTTTCCTTTCTTTTTTTTTTTTAAACAAATTTACATCAAATTTAAAATTGGTGTCAATTTTATAAAATGATAGAATCGAAAAAAAGTGATACGAATTAAATTACAACATTTCATTCTTAAGTTAAAAATTGTATGATGCATAAAGTGAGAATAAAAAATACATCGAGAATTGAATTTGGTACATAAATACATGTATATATTTTCTCTCGTTATTTAAGTATATCAATACACCATTTCCTATTTAATTACTGATTTATTGATTAATATATAATACCTAATTTTTGATCTAATTGCTCACTTTTTGTCATAATGATGAGAATTTCTCTTTTTTGAATTCCTCATATAATTAATCAAATAATAGTAATTAAATAAAATTATTATTGAATGAATACATCACCTGTCATAGCTCATTTGAATTGTTAATTAACATTTCTCATAAATCTTAATTATATATCATTCATTTCGAATTATAATTAAACATAACTCTATGAAATTATACAGTCTTTGTGATTTGAAAGAAAAAAACTACTACATATTATAATTTGATTAGTATATTTGAAATTAAAAAAAATATATAAGAAATTGAAATGAGTACATAAGTATATGTATTTGTGTTCTCTTATTTATTGGATATATAAATATGCAAAATTGTTAATCTTATTGACAATAATAGCCATTTGTGATTATTCAGTGAAATTCATTTAATAAATTTTATATTTTACTAAAAAACACAAATTAAGAAATCTCAAAAGTGAAAGAAGAAAAAATTATATTTTTAAAATAATCAATTTTGTTAAAAATTATAAGTATAACTTTCATTATTAAATGCTAATTTTAAATTTTTGCATTAAAACATTTAAAGTAAATCATTTGCTATTTGAAGGTAATATTAAAATAAATTTATTTATTTTTGTTAGTTATTAATTAGATTATTTACATAACAATTAATTTATTTAATTGTTACAAATAATTTTATATGATTAAAATTCTTTTACATTTCAATTTTATTTTTATACTTTCCCATCAAGCATCACATCCATTTTCTATTTATTAGTTTATTTACATAAATTCAATTTCATCTACACAAATGACCTTGTGGAATTCAACGGTCAGAAAACCGTTGAAATATGAAAATTAGCATTTAATTTCTGCATAACAATTTCAACCTTGAAAATTAATCATTAAAGAATTCTTTTTTTTTTCTATTCCTTAAATTATTCATAAAAATTTTATGCATAAAAAAAAATCTAAAAAAATTTATTGGTCAAAAAAATATTTAATTATTAAATTATTATTAGATCAATCCTTATTTACCAATTTATTTTTTTCATTTATTTGTTTGTTAACTAAAAGTACAAAAAAAGTTTTTTTTTCTTATACTTAAATCTAATAATTAAAAAGTATGAATTAGTAGTAATAGAAGCAATCCAAAGTAACTAATTAAATTAAAAATATAAATGATAAATGGATCACTTTTCAAAAAAAGAAGAAAAAAAAGATCAAAATCAAAAGTTAAATCTGAATTAATTAGCTTTAATCGAGTTTTAACTATAAATTTCGTTCTTCTGTTTAATCTAACAGATTTGTATAAATTTTTGAGTAATAATTTAAATAAATGCCATTCGATGATCTTATTATTATTTAATTCTTATCAATATTTTGGCGCTATGTATGCCGAAAAGTTGTATCTCAGTTATTACTTAGATTTCAATCAATGAAATTTTTTGAATTTGTAATCTAAAATTAATTATACAGCTAATAGATTAAAATAGTTTAAAAATATACTTTAAAAAATCTTCCAGCATATTAATATAATGAATAAAAATTACAATCATAAATGATTAGTTAAAGTATACTGTCCTATTTAAATTTATAAAAAAAATTTTTATTTGCTAATAAATTCATTAACAAATTTGATGCTTCATTTTAAACAGAAAAGGAAAAGATTTATTATAAACAATAAATGAAGTGATTTAAAAAATTTGATAGAAATTAAAAATTTCAAATTTTTGAATTAAATTAAAAATATGAATTAAAATTTAAAATTATTCCTATTAATATATATTTGCATATTTCGATCAAAGGAAATATAATTTCAATCATTTCATCAATCTTTTGAAATGAATTTGAAATTTATTTTTTAAAAAAGAAATTCATTTTTATTTTAGAATGTCTTCCATGGCAATTTGATTGTCATTTTGGTATTCCACGATGCATTTCACAGTTCAAAGTTAACGATGGTGCAATCGATTGCATTTCTGGATTTGATGAAGGTTTCATTTTATAAAACATTTCTAAATTATAATATAAAATTAAAAATTAAAGAAAAAAAACAATTTTTTTTTAGTGGAAAATTAAATTTTTAAATATAAATTCGTATTATAGTTATAACTTCAAAATATCAATAATAACTTTACTGTTATAATAATCATACTTATATAATAATAGAAAAGAAATGAAAAAAATTTCAAATATTCATTAAATTGTCGTATCATTATTATTTGAAATTCTTTTTCGCAAAAAAATTAATTTTTATTTTAAAATATCTTCCAGTGGTGCAATAATTTTAATTTGAGTGTTTGAATTGTGAATTGAAATTGAAAATATATTTATAAACTGTGCTAATATAAACAATTTTTAAATGCTTGGATAATTTATTAGCTTATAAGAAAGGATATAATTGCAGTGGAAAATAAGCAAACAATTAGTTTTTAATGACCTTTAACCTTTATTTGATGACATTTAGTCTATAATATTACCTAGAAATGCATATAAGAATGGCTATCAAAATTGAAAATGTTTCGAATATTGCAAAGAAAGTTAATTAACAAAGAAAGTTAATTAGATAAGGAATTTATAAAGATAAAAAAACTTTTAGCAATTTAAATATTAAATTTGACTATCAGATTGAAAAATTTTATAACAGATAAAAAGCAATGAAAAAAGCAATATATTTAGGTAGAAATGAAAGATAAATGTTGGATAAATATATTTAAAAAAAAAATGATAGTAAAATTTAAAAAAAGCAAACATTTCTATAAAATTAAAAAAAAAAATCATAAATATTTTGGATGAATGATTAATTGATTTAAGAAATAAAATTGAAATAGCATTTTATATTCGTATAAACGAATATTTATGTATTTTTTAGCTTAAAAATTTCTGCCATATGATTTTAAAATAAAATTATTTTGGCAGATCACACTTTTTTTTTTATTTTTGGTTTTTCATCATAACTTAAAAACTGATAAAAAATTATATAAATTCCTAATGCATAGTACTTATCATTTACTATCAATTAATTAATCATCAATTGATTGATTCGTATTTTTGAAATAAAAAATTTTTAGTTTTGTAAATAATTTTTTTTTTCTTAAATTATATCAAAATTAAAATTTTTCTTAAATTATATCAAAATGAAAATTTTTTTTTTCTTAAATTTTTCTTAAATTGTATCAAAATTAAAATTTTTTTCCCTTAAATTTTTCTTAAATTATATCAAAATTAAAATTTTTCTTAAATTATATCAAAATTAAAAATTTTTTTTCCTTTAAATTTTTCTTAAATTATATCAAAATTAAAATTTTTTTTTCCTTAAATTTTCCTTAAATTATATCAAAATTATATCAACTGTAAGAGTTTGATAATTATTTTAGGTTGTCCACCACATAATTTCGTTTGTGCTGATAAAAGCGCATGCATTGATTTTTCAAAATATCAGGATGGTATAGCACATTGCAAGGACAAATCGGATGAACGTATGTTTCATATTTCAAATTTTCATATAAATTATATAAAATTAATTTTTTCAAATTTTAATTTATTAAAATTTGCAAAAAAAAATTGTTAATTGAAAACTAAAATGATGATTATATGTATATAAAGTATATCAATAGTATATAAATAATATCAGTAATCAAATACTAATTGTAAAATTTAACTCCAATGACTTTACTGGTAAAATATGAAATTAATTTATTTAAAATTGAAAATAAAAACTATGATTTCTTACAAAAGAAAAAAACATCGATTAATTATAATTTGCATATTTGAATTTCCATTTTTTTTAATAACTTTACTGGTAAAATATGAAATTAATTTATTTAAAATTGAAAATAAAAACTATGATTTATTATAAAAGTAGAAAAACATCGATTAATAATAATTTGCATATTTGAATTTCTAATTTTTTTTTTTTTTGTTGAATCCATTTATTTAATTGTTTGTTTGTTTTTTCTCTTTCATCTAAAATATATTTATAATTAATATTTAATTTATAATTATTTTTAGCATGTCCAGCTGGTGATTTTTTATGCAACGATCATTCGCAGTGTATTGATGGAAAACGTTTTCAGGATGGCTTTTCCGATTGTAAAGATGGTTCAGATGAAGGTTTATCATTTTTTTTTTTTTTATCTTTTCAAAAAAAATTTTCTTTTTTTTTTTCTCTTTCATTTCAAAGATTTGTTTTTTTTTTCTTTGCTTTTCCCTCTTTTTCTTTCTTTTTTTTAAAATAAAATTTCGAATGTTTCTTTTGTCCAACCAAATATTCCTTATCGGAATTTTTTTTCTTATAATCGGTACACTTTTTTCTTTTGTGATTTTTTTTCCTTTCTTTCTTTCTTTTTTTTACGATTTTATTCCTTTCTCTTTCTTCATTGAATCAAGGACATTAACAGGTGGAATAGTATTACCGAGGTTTTTAGATAAGGTTGAATTGTTTATAAAAGATTTTGAAGGACGTTTGATACTTTCTCCTCCTCTGTAATTTTTTTTCTTTTTCTTTGTCTCTCTTCTCTTCTTCTTTACCTCTTCTTTCTATTTAAATCAAATCTATTAAATTTGAAATGAAATGAAAGCTTCATGAATAATTGCATAAAATATCCTGAAACAAACAAAGAAAAAAAAAAAGGAAGGTTTTTTTTTTTTTTGTAAATACCGAATTTGGATTAACATAGAGGTAAATACAATTCAAACATTTTACAAAATAAATTTTAAAAGAAATGAAATGAATTTTCAAATAAATATTTTAAAAAAAAAGAACAAACTTGAAAGTATTTTTTCTCATTTTCGTAATAATCCATTTTATTTAATAGTTGATAATTGATAATGTTAAATGATATGAATATAAAACTGAAAATAATCATACAAATATATTTGTAAAGCAAATTTGTAAATAACAAATTTTCATTCTAAATATCTCTAAAAAAGTTATTTTCTTTAATTATCAATTATTTATTGTATAATTTTCCCTCAAAAATTTTTCAAATTTAATTCATTAAATTCAAAAAAAAAAAGAAAGGAAGAAAAAATTGCCCAAATCATTTTATTATTGTTCTATAAATTTAATAAACTAGAAAATATAAGACAAAAAAAAATAGGTTGAATAGTAAATTTTAAATTTTTATTCATTTAATTTTTTTTAAAAACTTTTTTTTTTTTTCAGAATGTACAGTTACTCAATTTGAATGTAGTTGTGGAACAATTCGATGCATAGATGCTGAAATGCTAAAAGATGGTAAAAAAGATTGCGAAGATGGCTCCGATGAAATTGGCCCATCAGCGCAAAAGTTTTGCGCAAATGGTAAATTAATTCGACAAAATAGAGCTAAAAATCGTACCGTACAATATCCAACATATAGCGCAATTGCAAAATGTCCTGATCCATCGATTTGTAATGATCAATTGGGAGAAATATGCATTGTAAGTAATTTTAATGTTTAATTTTCTCTAAAAAAAAATAAAAACAAAAAGTTTAATTTTAGTTACAGAATTTAATTTCTTATCAAAAAAGTCATTGTATTATTTTAATATCTATCAATCAATGTTATTTATTTTTGATTTTAGTTATTATCATTTGATTAAAATTATAGTTAATAATATTAATTATTAATTGATTTGAAAAGATTTTTCCTTTTGTTTCTTTTTTTTGTTTCATGTATTTTGTGAATTTTAATGAAATTTCAGATGGTTGGTGGTGCAACGCATTGTGTTTGTAAAAAAGGAACCATTCGACCGCAAGGTTCACCGCGGTGTGTATTGGAACCTTTACTTCAACAATACCTTAATAATATTATTGGTAATTGCACCGAAATTCAGAAAGATTTAATCGAAGTTTATGGCGAGAAAATAAGCTTTTCAAATGATTCACCTCGTCTAACTTATGCTCGTAAAGAAACAGGATGTGATCCAAAGTCAAAAATACCATGCAAAGGTTAAATTTTTGAAATTTAGAAAAAAAAAAAACAAAGATGAAATTTATTTTTGCAAAAAAAAAAATGAGCATATTAATTAGTAATTACTAATTAAATTAGTCAATAATTTCTAAATTTGACTTAATCTTTTGTAAGAATTCAAATTTAAATCAAAAATGATTAGCAATTAAAATTTTTCCAAATTAAAATTATTTCATCATTTAAATATTTTGTTTCTTGGGAGTCAAATTTTAATTCGTTTAAATTAAATTTATTTTTCAATTTGAATAATTTGAATAGAAATTAAAATTGAAATTAAATTATTTTTTATTTAGGTTATGGTGAGATATGTCGGCCAGATTCATCTGGTCGTCATCGTTGCACATGCGCAAACAATGGTACTCGTATGGATAGCATTTGCTTAGGTAAATTTTAAGAATTAAATTTTAAATTAAAATTTTAACAATGCTAAATTAATCGATCAGATAAGAGTAGATAAATGATTTTTTAGGTTTTATATGCATAAGAATATAATAAAAGTTTTGAACAGAATGAAATACAAATGTCAAATAGTAATTAAATAAAAGTAATTAAATAAAAGGAACTCAAATAATTAATTCTAATTTAGTAAATGAGTGTATGAGCCCAGAATTAAATGATTGCGATCCAAATGCATCCTGCATGGATAGCATACTATCATATGAATGTTTCTGCAACGAAGGATTCATCGATACTTCAATTTCACCTAAAATACGACCTGGAATTAAATGCGCAAAATGTTTGTTTACAATTTTGTTTATTCATTATTATTAATTTCAATTGCTTAATTTTTTGTTTCAAATTTTTTGAGATAATCTAAACTAATTATTAACTTTTAATAATCTCTTAATTTTAATGCAAGCAACATTTGCAGTTTCAAAAATAGACAAAAATAGACCGAAAAGATTTGATAAGAATTTAAGCTATTGATATGAGCTATGTGATAAGAATTAATTTGATATTAATTTATTTAAATTTCTTATCTTTCGAATAAACGATAAAATTTTTCATTTTAATTCCATACACAACTTGAGAAAATGTTAATATTTTCATTAATTTCATTAGGTCAATTTATTCCTGTTCTCTTTTGTTAATTTAATTTAATCGTTTCTGGTGATAATTCAAATGTTGTGTGATTGATCGAACATGCATACAAATTTAAAAGAAAAAAATTTATCAGAGATAATTAAACCATGAAGAATTAGTTTTCCTGAATTCTTCTCAAACCAGAAATAAAATATAATATTTTATTTTTTCAAAATTTCATATCCAAAACTAATTAATAATTCTTTTTTTTCTGTTGCATGAAAATTTAGACATTCTATACTTTTTGATTTTATTCGTTTTAAAATAAAAATTTTCAAAATGATAGTATTTTACAAAGAAAAGAGGAATGATTATTAAAAAAACTAATCGAAATAATACTTAAAATCATAAATATATGGGAGTGAAATTTTAAATTAAAAATTTTATTGGATGCAGTGGTGGATGAATGTGCATCAAAAGCTGCAAATCAATGTGATGAAAATGCGGATTGTATTGATAAGCCGATCGGTTACACATGTCGTTGTCGTAATGGCTACGTTGATATTTCGGAAGGTGGCGCAAGAAATCCGGGGCGGAAATGTCATAAATGTATGCAGTTAATTACTTTTGTTTTCAATTTAATTATCATGATCTAATTTTAATTTCGATCCTATTATTATTATTATTATTATTATTATTATTATTATTATTATTATTATTATTACTAATAAATTGAGATGTGCAGATATACTGTTACAAATTTGTTTACAAATAATAATTTATTAAAGAGAAATCAATTGAAATTAAATATTAATACATGGTTTAATTACTTTTGTTTTCAATTTAATTATCATGATCTAATTTTAATTTCGATCCTTTATTATTATTATTATTATTACTAATAAATTGAGATGTGCAGATATACTGTTACAAATTTGTTTACAAATAATAATTTATTAAAAAGAAATCAATTGAAATTAATTATTAATACATGGTTGATAGAATAACTATGGGAAACTTTATTCATCAAATAATTTTTTTGGTTAATTAATTATTTTTTTAGTTTTAATTCTACTAAAATTAATGATAATACTAATCCTGTAAGAAACATTACAGAATTTCCATCTGTAATTTAATAATAACATAGTTTATTAATTGCTATGAATATATTGTTTCATTCATCCAATAAAATTTCACTTTAAGCTGCATAAATATATTAATATTTGATTAAAATAAATAGTATCAATAATGAAATAATAGAAATAAGAAATAATAATAATAATAATAATAAATTAATTATTTTCAAAGAAATAGCATCTAAAGAAAAAAACAGCAAACAATAATAATTAATTATTTTCAAAGAAATAGATGAGCAATTTTTTATTTTTTTATTTTTTTTAGAAAGCAATTTTTAGAAAATTTATAATTTTTTTTATTGATTTTTTTTTTAGAAAACAATATTGTTAGTTTGTTTTTTTATAAGCTTTTTCTTATTTTCATGTTTTGAAATCTGAAATAAACATGTATAAGCAGCAAATAGAAATTGTTTCTATTTACTAATCACTGATAATGATTTATAAATTCATTTGTTGCAACATATTCAAATCTATGACCTTCAAATAACCGCTGATATTATCAGTCACTGTCCATTTTTATTTGTCATGCAAATTAATAATAGTAATTAGAATTTATGATGTGCTAAAAAAAAAAAGAAAAAAAAAACTTTTTCATTCAATAACATAAAACATTTTTGATCTTTTTATTATCACCGAAAATTTTTGGGAAAAAAAAAATTATTTTTTTGTCCATTTTTTTCTTTTTTGTTTTTAAACGAATTAAAAATTTTTTTAGTAATGGATGAATGTCAAATGGGTTTAGCTGATTGTGATCCAAAAGCAATTTGCATAGATATGACATATAGTTATACATGCAAATGTCCACATGGTTTTGCAGACAAGTCAACAGATCCGATTAATAAGCCTGGTCGAATTTGTTCCAAATGTGAGCTTCTCTTGGCTTATTAGTTTTATTTGATAAAGAAAAAAATTAAATACTTTGTAGTTTAAATTAGATCTATATTAATAGTCAGTACTAGGAACTATTTTTTTCTGAAAATTTTGAAATGCTAAATTATAAAAGCTCAATTTATGAGTTTGTTTGCGTTGGCAGTTATTTGCTGATTGTAACAACAAAAGTATGATTTTTTGGAAATAATGAGAAAGATAGCTAAGAATTGACCTAGTTTAGATGATATACTTTTATTATTTATTTAGCCCATTGGAATTGTTAGTGTTAGGAAAAGAGAAATCGGATAAGATTGACCGAATGATCGTTTTGATTTATTCAGTTTATGTTTTTTTTTTTTTTTTTTGGTTAGTGATCAATTCATGTGATTCACCGAACTTTACGGGATGTCAATCGAAAGAATCGAAATGTATTGGTACAAAAGATGGTTTTGTATGCCGTTGCATCGATGGCTATATCGATCTAAATCCGGCAAATCCGGGAATAAATTGTTCTAAAGCAGGTATGATATTGGTACTTCTTCTTTAAGTTCCGATTCAATGTGATACTTCTTTTTTTAGTTCCTTATTATTACCTGAGCAAAAAGAAAATGAAAAACAAAAAGGTATTCAATCATAATGACAATTTAAATTCCTTAAATTAAATAACACGAAAGACTACTGTATCATACAGTAATCTTTCGTATGTCGCATACAGTAATCCGAATAATCATACCGTAATCCGGATGACATTGATATTATTCTGTGCAGTGGAAATTTCTTCCTTTCTGATGTTCTTCCTGATTTTGTTTCAAATTTTGTTGAATTAAAATGACAAAAAATATTTGTAAATATTAAATAACAGAAAGTAAATGAAGAGTGATTTGAAAAAAAAAAAGAGAAAAGAAAGGAGAGAAAGAGGAAGAAGATAAAAGAAAAAGTTAAAATAGAGGAAAAATAAAGAGAAGATGGAGAATGAGAAGAGAAATATTTCTGGAATAAATTGAATATTTGTTTACATATCGATACATTCTTTCATATAGAGCAGAAAATGGAATAGCAAATCATGGGTATAGTATGGGTAATTGTGGTAGTTAATGATGATTTGCTGTTACCTTTTAATGTTCAAAATAAAATTCTATCGGTATCTTTGATAATGAAAGATGAAGAAAAGAGAAGAAAGGAATAGATGAGATAGATAGAATTAGGAAAATTTAGTGGTAGAACAACGATACATGCATGCGTACATTTGAAAGGTCAACGAAATGGCCGGCCGATTCATTTAGTCCGTTCATCCATCTGTAACCGCGATTGATAGCGTATGCATTAAAGGTCGAGAGTTGGACATAATTGAAGAGAAGGTTGAAATTATAATTAGTGGAAAGGTGGGAAAGATAAGAGAACAGTGTAGAGGTGGGGTATGCGGGTTCAGATCGATGACTCTACAGCAGATATGAAAGGCGGGGGAAAGATGGAAGAGGAGGGGAGAAGGGGGGGAAAAGGGTAATTTTTAGGGTGGTCTCTGTCTTCGGCGACCATTTCTGTTGTTACCTTTGCCGATCAAAGAAGGGTTTTGAACCAGACGAAATTCGGGCAATAGTTTTATAACAACACTATAACGGTGGTAGCTTTGGTTTTGTTTGGACCGGAAGAATTATTTCGCTATAACGGATTTGAATCGAAGAAAACCAGAATTTGAGCGAAATTATAACGGAATCATATATACGAAGCAATAATTCAACAGATATATTATTCTCTACTATTCACTAATTATTTACTAATTGATTCAATATTTTCACTACTTTCTATCCTTCAACTTTCTTTCTTCCAATAATAATTATTATTATTATAATAGTAAAAAAAAATACAAACAAATTTTTTTAATAAAATTAATTTTTATTTTTGCAATCATTTCAATTGAATTCTGAATTGTTCAATTTAAATACTATTCCTGAAAGAATAATAATTGTCCCTGCTAAATGCAGCTGTTGCTTGTAGCAACGCTAGCTATTATTGCAGTACCTGAATTAATTTTAATTAATGCTATAGGTGAGTTATTCATTCATTTCTTTTTATCACTTTTAAATAATTATATATTTAAATTTTTTAGAAAATTAAGAAAATAATTGAATGAGTTCTAATCTCTATAGATTATTTTAAATATAACATCGATTTAAATCGTTAACTAAAGATTAATTATTTAATAATTACATATGAATTAAAATTAATTATGATATTTTAAGTTGGAATAACGATGTTAAAAGTATGTTGTTGCTCAGTTATTATAATACATTAAGCAATATGTGAATGGAGTAAGAAAATGCATGAAAGTTTATTATTATTATTGATATTAATACTATTCCAGAAATTAGTATTATTTCATTTGATTCCTCCGGAAAACTGTTACCGGATGCCTGAAAATTGAGTTAAAAACTCGATTAGTTATGAAATAAATATATGATTAGAAATGTTTGATTCTTAGCAACAAACAAACAATTATCATCATAGTATATCCTTTAATTTGACATATTATGTAAGAATTACTTCGTAAATTCTATACATATGAAGTGATTAAATAGTAAACAAGAAAATATAGGTTGATTAAATCGATGAATAGTTTACATTACTTTGTTATTTCTCTCTCATTTTTTTAAAAAAAAAAAAAATTATTTAAATTTCTAATTTTCTGGTTATATTAACAATATTAGTTCTATTTGCATAATTTAAGATTTAAATCTTTTAATCAAAGAATGTAACAATGTGTTTTGGTTGAAATAACTTATGAATAACAATGCATAATCGCACTAACAATGTCCTGAATTTTTCAATTTTCATGAGTTTAATAATGATGAATAGAAAGAGATAAGAAAACTACATTTTCTAATCCATTTCTGAATCATTGGCGATAATAATTTTGCATGAAAATTTAAATTTCAAGCTTTCTATGTAAGTTAGAAAGATTGGAAAATGAAAATGTATAGTTTGATGAAAGAAGAAAGAAATAAATTTCCAAATTAAAAAATTTTATTTTTCCCCAAATTAAAGCTTTAATTTTTTTGAAAAATTTTTAAACTCTTATGTTTAGTCAGAAATTCTTGAAAAAAAAACATTTGTAATTTTTCTATTTGAAAAATTGAAAATTTCCGTACTGATTTTTTTTAACAAAAAAAAAAAAAAAATAATTTTGCTGTTTTAAAAAATTAAATGTTAAATTTGTTTATGGAAAATTTTGTCAAATTAACAAAACGAGGAAAAGAAAATCAATTTATAAGGATTAGAAAGTACTTTTATTGACTAAATTTGTTAATTAAAAAACCTTTTTTTTTCTTGAACTATTTTTAATTTCTTAAAATTTTTAATAATTTCAATTTAAACATTTTTTTTTTTTTGGCATTATTCATTGTTTTTATTCAATTCTTGTTTATTTGCTTTTCTTTTCTTTCACTTTTTCTCTCTCTTTCTTCCTTCTACTTTTTTCCTTTTTAAATTTTACCTTTTTTTTTCAATTTGAAATAATTTAAATTATTGAAATGATTTAAATTATTGTACATACATTTAAGGAAAAGAGAAAAAGAAACAAGTATACCTTAAGGCTATAATATATAAAATTGATGAGAAAAAGAGACATACACAAAAGAAAAATCAAAATTGAAAACATAAAAAATACAAACAATAATTTGCTCCAAATTTTTTTCTTCCACACTCTAACAAGCGTATATAATATAATCCAGTTTATGAACAAATGAAATAAAATTAAAAAAAAAAAAAAACGAAATTTTTCTTTCTTTCTTTCTTTCTCTCTTCCTTTGCTTCATTCTCTTCACGTATTGCACGCATGCGCTATATACTTTTTTTTACTTTTCTTCTCTATCATGCGTACATTTTATTCTATTTTTCATGTATATGCATGCATATCTTTTATCATTCCTTTTTTTCTTTGTAAAGATAGAATGTGAGGAAGAAAAAAAAAATGAAATAATCAAAAGTTTATAAATAAATTTGTTCGTAATTAATTAATTAATTAATTATTCATATTAAAATGAGAAGAAAAAGCTATGCTTATATTGTTATCATTACTATATCATTATCAGTTGTATAATATTGTTATCTTTGTTATTATCATCTAGTATAATATTTGTTATTGTTATTTATCTATTATTATTATTATTATTGTTATTGTTATTCTGTTTGTTAGTTGGCTAAGGTTAAAATTTAATTGATGGAATTTTAAAAATTTTTTAATAATATCGATGAAATGACCTAGAAAAAAAATTAATAAAAAAAAAGATTCTAAAGATTTATGCCAGAATTATGAATGGAAACAAAATTTACAAAATTCTAATATATTATGATAGAGTGAAATTGATTAATATATTATCATAACATTCATATTGTTAAATTATTTAATTAATTTTTTTTTTTTTAAAACAGTACTAATCTATTCAATTGTTTATGAGAGTATAACATGATTATAACAGAATTACATCTAATTTTAAATAAAATAATTTTAAATGGCTGATAGAATAAGATGGCATATTTTAAAATAGTATATTTAGAAATGTAAAATGAAATTAATTCTAATGAAAATACGATTTGTAGCTTATTTAAATTTTAAAATTTTAATGTATTCTACAAAAAGATAGCTTATTTTTATTAAATATTGAGGTAGTTTCATTGAATTAAATTATTTAAAATTAGGATTTTAGACTAAATTAAATGCATAGCTGAAAGCTAAGCGCTAAAATTATAAATTCTAAATTGAATATAAAAAATCTGAAATCATTATTGATTTAATGCGTAATTCTAATTTAAAAATAATTCCTTTGATAGCTGATAACTATTTCTTGAAGTTCAAATTATTTTAATGAGTTAATTTTTGAATTAAAATGAAAATATTATATACATATGTATTTTTAGTATCGGATCCGTGTCAGGATGATTCATTACATGATTGTGATCCGGTAGCAGAATGTCACAGCGAACAACCGGGTTATTTCCAGTGCCGTTGTCCGAATGGTTTTGCTGATGTCTCAACCGATCAACGTTTTCCCGGAAGGAAATGCAAAAAAAGTTAGTCATCAAATGAACTTTAAAATTGTAAATTTTTTTAATTTTAAATCTAAAAGATTTGAACAAAAGCAGAAATTAGCAATTTAATATATTCCGTGAAAAAAATTTTTTTTTTAACTTAAAAATTTTGTCTTTTGATCTATTAAATTTATAACTTGAAAATATTTTGTCCAAATTTCTGCTAATATTGATAAAAGTCATTAAATTAACATTTGTTTACTTGGCTTGATAAAAAGTGAATTGATAAAAGATAACATAATTTATGATTTAATATTGATTAGATTTTACTTATAATTTGATCTAATAATGCTAAAAGAATTGTTAATATGATGATTCTTTAATTAAATTTACAATAATCAATAAACTAACTATAAAATTTAAAGGAAAAAATAAACAAACAAACAAGTTTTCTTTTTTTTTTCATTTAAATTAAATGAAATTAAAGTTTCTAAGAAAGTGAAAGTAGTGTAAATATTTTTAAAATGAATTCATAATAAAATGAATGTGAATAAATGTATAACATTTATTCGTAGAAAGTGAAAAATGTTTCTTTGTCAAATGTGAATGAAACAAAAATGTTTTTTCTTTTTTCTTTTAATTTAAATTAATGAAATAAAAATTTATTAATGAATGATTGGATAGTTTCAAAGAAAAAAAGAAAAAAGAAAAAGGAAAAAGGGAAGAAAATAATTTAAATATGAATATTTGAATATAAAAAGTGTATGTATTATGAAAAATTTTTCGTTTTTCAAAATTTTGAAACTTTTTATTATTATTTATTATTATTATTACTATTATTATTCGTCAAATTATGATGCAATTTTGATGGCTTTTGAATGAGAATTTTGATAATAATAAATTCTTTTGACATCATAAAATGTTCCAATTTTAACCAAAGAAAGATGATTACGGGGATGAGAAAGGCAAAAGAAAAGTATGAATATGAGCATTTTAAGATTCGCTGTTTCCGTAAAAGTAGTAACAATTGACATTTTAAGGGAATCGTAATTAATAATAATAGTAATAATTATTAGTGATAATAATAATAGTAATAATAATAAATGATAATAATGGTGATAGCGATGATGATAAGGATTAAGGGAATCGTAATTAATAATAATAGTAATAATTATTAGTGATAATAATAATAGTAATAATAATAAATGATAATAATGGTGATAGCGATGATGATAAGGATTAAGGGAATCGTAATTAATAATAATAGTAATAATTATTAGTGATAATAATAATAGTAATAATAATAAATGATAATAATTGTGATAGCGATGATGATAAGGATTAAGGGAATCGTAATTAATAATAATAGTAATAATTATTAGTGATAATAATAATAGTAATAATAATAAATGATAGTAATTGTGATAGCGATGATGATAAGGATAATGATGAGATTAATTTTAAATTGTTAAAACCAAAAAAAAGAGAGAGAAAGGGAGAGAGAGAGAGATTTACCTTTATCATCATTATCATATTCGTATTTTCGACATTTTATGATTGTCAAATAAATTGGACACATTTTGATTGTAACCGAAAAAGAAATTTGATAGTGTGTAAGAGGAAAGAAATTTATCAGTTCATTAAATTTTAAATTTTATTAATTAAGATAAATTTACTTTGAAAAAAAAAACAAAATTATTTTAAACATATTATTGTAAAATGAACTTTTTTTCTTTTTCATTTCTTTCTTTTCTTCTTTGCACTCTTTTTTTTTTCAATCCTTCTTATTGAATTTATTTCAAAAAATTTTCAAAAAATAAAAGAAAAAAAAAGTTTAAAACAACAAAAAGAAAAAGAAATGAAATGTCATAATAATAATAATAATAATAATAATGATAATAATAATAATAATAACAATAATAATAATAATAATAATAATAATAATATGAATTTTTTTCTTTTATTTTTGAAATGCAAAATGAAAATTTCATTTTCTTCTTATTTTTCAAACTTTGACAACAACAGAAGTAAGGAATAAATAAAATAAAAAATAAATAAATAAATAAATAAAAATAAATAATAATAAAGAGAAAAGGAAGCAGTGGTTTTTCTTTTGAAATTTTAAATATTTAAATTTAAGAAAAGAAAAAATATCAAATTTTTTTTTTCACTTTTGTGTGATAAAAAAATGTTTTTGGAAATTCCGAAAAGTTCAAAAAAATATTTCAGGTGATTATTTTTGTTGCAAATAATCATAATTATGGCTAATAATTGTGATTATTTTGCTCTAGATAGTGATAATTATGATTATTTCGTTTTAAATAGTGTTGCAATTATGACTATTGATTATGATTATTTTGTTCAAGATAGTGATAATTATGGCTAATAATTATATTATCTTTATTTTATTTGGTTTTTTTTTTTTTGTCGTTCTTTCTTTTCTTTTTTTTTTACGACAAATTTTTGAATTCATTTGATTGTGGAATGTAAATTAATTTTTTCTAGGTCATCTTAGGGGTAAAATTGAGAAAAAGCGGAAGAATGTCAAATGAACATTCTTTTTTTGTTTAAATTAATTTTTGAATTCGATGTCTTTCTTACAGTCATTTACACATAAACGTAAAAATAATTGTTTATTTGCAAAAGTACGTGAAAACACACAATAAAACTAAAATTAAATATATAAAAATGCACAATCATTGCTTAATTAAATTTTAATTAAAAATTAAAAATTATAATTGACTGATAAGCTATTCATCAGTTATTTATGAACAATACTACAAGAAAGAAGTTAAATTTCAATTTTAATACTCATAAAAAGATGTTTGTAACAACTTAATATAAAAAAAAAAAAAAGCCATTCATATTGTTTATTGTAAAGCTTTTAAATTTAAATTCAATAATTTTTGTTAAATTTTATAATTTTAAATTGATTGATATTACCGTTAAATTTTGCAATTAAAATAAAATTTTAATTTAGTAATCAATGAATGTGTCCTTGGTACCCATGAATGTGATGAAAATGCAAAATGTGAGGACACTTTGGATGGTTACAATTGTCAATGTAAGCCAGGTTGGACTGATAATAGTCCAAATCGAGAAAACGCACCTGGGCGTAGTTGTAAGAAAGGTAGGTTTAAAATTGATTTAAAATTGATTTGTTAGTTTCAAATAATAAATAAATCGAGAATTTTAGCAGATTAAATAGATAGAAATGGAATATATCGAAATTAAACACATTTTATTATTATTTTTCTTTTACCTTCTCAATGATTAATTTGAGAAAACTTTTTATTAAATTTAATAAATAAAAATTTAAAAAGGATTATTGATAATAAATATTTGAATATTAAGCTTATTTCTAATAATTGAAGTAATATTTTAATTGATTGAAATTTATAAACTTTTGCTTGTTTATTTAAATTATTAAAGTTTAGAGTTAAAAATATAAATTAGGCTTTTGTTTTTTCTTTTTTGCAGCAAATATATGTGCCAGTATTCAATGTGCCAAAGAAGCGGAATGTCGTGAAACTGAACTTGGACCAGTTTGTGAATGTTTCTCGGGTTATGTTGACATTTCTCGACAACATGGCATGGCTGCAGGACATGTCTGTCGAAAGTTAGTAATGCATTAAATCATAATTATTCTAAATTAAAATTATACAGTACAAATTGCTATTTGATTTAAATGCTATTAATAGCATATTAAAGACGAAACACAGTTAAATTATTATCATCCTAAATTAATTTACTAATTCTAAAATTGTTTGAAAAAAAGAATCATTTGTTTATATTTACTATTAAAATGAAATTCAATTTAGCATCATTTTAATTTGAATATTTGATTAATTAAATTTTGCTTAATTAAATTATCGTTTAGATTTTAAATATAATTCTTTCAAGGGTAGTAAACGAATGCGCAACTGGTAAACATGATTGCTCATCTTCCGCAACCTGTATTGATACAGCTGATTTGTTTACCTGTCGATGTCGAGATGGATTTCGAGATGAAAGTCCAGATGTTGTAAATCGTCCTGGACGTGTTTGTGTTCGAGGTTTGAAATTTTAATTAGTAAATTTAAATTACTCTAATAGATATATTGCATTAACACTGATAAAAAATAATTTTCGTCTAATTTAAATTGACAGAAATATTTAATTAGTTGCACTAAATAAGTTTAATTAATTTAAAATGACAAAAAAAAAGTGACAAAATATGCCATTTTCATTTGTTATTTCAACTATGAAATAAAAAGGAATAAATATTAATGGAAGATAAAAAATTTTAAACTTTCTTAGAGATACAATAATTAAATAATAAAATTTAGGTTAAGAAGAAAAAGAAGTCGCAAAAAAAAAGAAAGAGACAAGGAGAGAGTGAAAGGTGGAGAGAGAGGGAGAAAGAGAGAGAGAAAAATGTATATACAAACTCGTTTTTATGAAAAATTTTTTTTTTTTCTAGCATTTATTCCGGAACCACCGGAATGCGATGTTAATGATCCGATGAGTTGTGATGCAAAAAAGAAAGAAGTATGCTTATTTGTTAATGGTACATACAAATGTCAATGTGCAACCGGATATGATCGTTTACCGGATGGTCGATGTTTAGTAATTAATGAATGTGATGATCAACGTCTTAATGATTGCGCTTCAAATGCTGATTGCATTGATCAGGTAATTTATTAGTAATATTTGAAATAAAGAATTTAATTTTTGTAAATTACTTTAAAATGCAGTTTTTTCTGCTTTCTCTTTTTTTTTAAATATAAAAGTTATTAATTATTAATTTTTTTTTTAAGTATTAAATTCTTGTTAAGTTAGCATTATTATAGGCTGATGGTTATACTTGTCAATGCAAAAGTGGTTTTGCGGATATATCACCATCAGGTACACCAGGGCGCATTTGTCGTACACGTGTAAATGAATGCGCTGAACCACAGAAATATCATGTTGATTGTGATTCTAATGCTGTATGTGTTGATACAGATGAAGAGTATACATGCAGGTATATATGGTTAATTAAATTAAATTTGTATTTCAAATTTTTATTTTCAATTTATTTTAAATAATGAATGAATAAATTTATAGTAATACTAATAAAATATTTCTATATGAATAATCTATTACACATTAAATTATTCATTTTAGTTGTCGTCCTGGTTTTGCTGATATATCTAGTTCATTTGAACGTTTACCTGGTCGTCGTTGTGTTGAAGCAATAAATGAATGCTTGAATCCATCAATGAATGATTGTTCAGAGAATGCTATTTGTGAGGATGCTAAAGAAGGGTATTAAATTTCTTCCAAACTTTTAAATTTATTTAATTTGAAAAAAAAAATGAATAAATTAATTTATGTGTTTTTGTTTTCTTTTTTAAAGTTATTAATTAAGGCGGTAATATTAAATGGTTTTTAAGAATGATAATATAACTATTAAAAGTTTTAATAAATTATGTGAATGATTTCAAAAGATAAATAAATTATAAAATTTTGAATTCAAAATTTTATCATTTCAGGTATATTTGTACATGTTTACAAGGTTTTGTTGATGCATCGCCCAATATTACCCATTATCCAGGTCGGGTATGTCATAAGCCTAAGCAAGAAAAACTTCATGACAATGGTACCACAAAAGGTTCCTTAATTACATGCAATCCTGATAAACCAAACTGTGGTACCAATGAAGTATGCACTGATCGTAAAGCACGTGGAAAATTTGTTTGTGATTGCGCTGAAAATGCATTCAGATTTACGGATAATACATGTCGTTGTAAGTTATTATTATTGGTACTAAAATTATTTTTATACATTTTAATTTACTAATTTTAGGTAAATGGATAATAATGATAATATTAAATTAGTAAAATTAATGAGTAATCAACTGTAACAATAAATATTTGATAAAAAGTTGTGATAATGTATAATTATTATTATCATTATTATGATAATATATGATTATTGTTATCATGATAATATATCAAATTACAAAATTATGCAATTATTCTCAATAAGTTAATATAAAAATCAATAAGTTAATATAAAAATTTATTTTTTATATATATTTTTTTTTAAAATTTATTTTACCAAATTAATAATAGTTTTTAGCCATATGATTTTACAAAAACACAAAAATTTACCATCCTAATATGCCAATGAGTTGAAGTTCAGTTGGAAATTATAATTATAATTGTTTTTCCGGAAAATGAATTATACCTTTTTTTTTTCTGATAATCCTAGAAAAGCGATTATTATTTTTACTATTAATTACTAATTTATTTAACTGCAAATTCGAGAAATTTGAATTTACCTACCTGAAATTACATTCTTCTTCCGTAGCTCATAATTGATTTTAATTTATTTTTTTAGTCTATGCTGCATGTATTGGTGTAAATGATTGCGATCAGAATGCAGTTTGTGCTAATGCATTTGATTCTTACATATGTCAATGTCGTCCTGGATTTATTGATATTTCACCGGATCCGGAAGGAAAGCCAGGCCGAATATGTAAAGAATGTAAGCGAACCTTTTTTTTTTTCCTCCCTCTCTTTCTCATTTTTATCGTTAAAATACTATAAAAAATGAAGAATATTCAAAAAAATATTTCAATTATTACAAAAATTTCATTATAAAACTTTTACTTTTACTCTTCTTTATGTTTTTTTTTTTTTATTCTGTTTGTAAAATTTTATTTATTCAAAAAAAAAAAGATTTATTGAAAGATACAATAAAATTTTAATTAATTAAATTAAATTAAATTAATTAAAGTAATTAATGAATGTGCTACGGGAATTCATAATTGTTCATCGTATGCGACATGTATTGATGCAACTGATGGTTATATGTGTATTTGTAATGATGGCTTTGTGGATACTTCATCACAATTTCAACTTGCACCTGGACGTCGTTGTAGTAATGGTAAAATTTAAGAAAAAAAAATATTTTAAAAATTGAAAAGTAAAAAATAAAAAAAAAAAACATTGACAGTTAAAAAATTTAAAAAAAAAAAGCGACAAATTAATTAAATAAATATAAAAAGTTAATAAAAAAAAAAAGTGAAATATATTTTTAATTAATTTTATTTATTAATATTTTTGTTATTAATTTGAATAAAAAAGTTATAAGAAATAATAATATTTTACTAAATAATATTTTTATTATAATCTCAACAATTTCAAATATTGGTGATAATTTATGAAATTTTAAATACTAATTTTTATTTATTTATTTACTTTTTTTTTTCAACCTAAATATAAAATATTAATTTTTATTTTCAGCCAGTAATGAATGTGTTGATCAAACGTTGAATACCTGTGATGAAAATGCAGATTGTATTGATACACCTGATTCGTATACATGTCAATGCTATGCCGGATTTGTAGATGTTTCATCCAGTGCTAATTTACAACCTGGTCGAGTATGTACGGTACAAACAACCTGTCCAAAACAAAAAACTGATCTCATGTTTCTCATTGATGGTTCCGGTTCAATTGGCTCTTATGTTTTCAAAAATGAAGTAAAAATTTTTTTAAACTTTAACGAAAAGAAAAAAAAAAAAGGGAATTAATTACATTTAAAACAGAATTCTCTATAATTTGCTAATCTTTTTTTTTTTTGTAAATTTTATCTTTCTATAATTTATCTTATTTATTTAAAATTTAATAAAAAAATTGAATTTTTTTTCTAAAAAAAATGTTTATAATTGTTATTAAATTTTTCATTTTATTCTCTTAAAAAAAAAAGAAGAACATTATCAAATTATCAATTTTTTATAATTCCATAGAAGAAGAAATGCAATATTATGATTAGCATTAATTAATTAATTAATTAATTAATTAAATACAAAATAAATTTTTTATAGGTGCTACGATTTATTAAAGAATTTGTGGAATTATTTGATATTGGTTTGGATAATACACGTGTTGGTTTGATCCAATATTCTGATCAAATTCGTCATGAATTTGACTTAAGCCAATATACTGATAAAGCATCTGTTATCAGTGCAATATCACAAGTTCAATATTTAACAGGTCTTACAAGGTTAATGCATTATTTATTCTTTTGTTTATGTTTATTTCTATCAAAATATCTTAATTTTAATTCATTGAAATTTTGTTTACTTACTACTTTTTCTAATATCAAATTTCATTTAAATTTTATTTTCTTTTTTTTTTTCCTGAAAATTTTACATTTCTAGGACTGGTGCTGCAATTCAGCATATGGTAATGGAAGGTTTCTCAGAGCGACGTGGTGCTCGTAAGGAAGGTGATGACGTTGCACGTGTGAGCATTGTTATTACTGATGGTCGTAGTCAAGATAATGTTACAGAACCTGCTATAAACGCTCGTAAATCGCATATTAATATGTTTTCGGTTGGCGTGACAGATCACGTTCTGGGACCGGAATTAGAAGCTATAGCAGGCTCACCGTTACGATGGTTTCATGTTGATAAGTTCAAGGATTTAGATACACGACTACGTTCATTAATTCAGAAAGCAGCGTGTCCGTCACCGGAACCAAAGCCACGTCCACCTGGTGGATGCAATCCATCAACGCAAACTGGTTGTGATCGTACACTGAATGAAGTTTGTGTACAGGTCCGGTTTTTTTTTTTTTTTTTTTTTTTTTTTTTTTTATTACTTTAAGATTTCAGAATAATATTTTTTTCCCTAATTCAACATTATTGATTTTTTCTTTTTTTTTTTGAAGGGTAATAGTTCTGCACAATGTGTTTGTCCAGAAGGATTTCAACGGCATCCAAGTACTCGACGTTGTGGTGGTAATCAATGTAATCCGGATTTGCCTACATCATGTCCACATCCGGAAATATGTGTGATTGCACCATTTTCAAATTATCTTTGCGTTTGTCCAAAAGGCTATTTGCGTGATCAACGATCTGGAATTTGCTGTAAGTTTTCCTCTTTTACAATTAATGTTAGTTAGCATAATATTGGTCTTAGTTAAAGTTTGAAAAGATCAAATTTAAGTTTAAAATTCAAATTTCAAAAAAATTTTTTTTAGTAGCTAATAATACATACAAAGTTGATGGGAAGCAACAAAATGAACCAACCATATTGTCATCGCATGATGCTGACTGTCATAATGGTGGTGTACGATGTGGCACAAATGAAGAATGCGTACGTGTTGCCACTCGTGATTTTCACGTAAGTGAATTCATACATACCTATATTTTACAATTTAAATTTCATCTTTTTTTTTGGTATACCTATATTTTCCAATTTAAATTTCATTTTTTTTTTGGTAACATTTAATAATATTGATAGGAAGTTAAGACAAAAATTAATTAATGTATTCTTAATTAATTAATTAATTAATTAATTAATTAGTGTATCATAACAATATATAGTATTTGCCTAAGATTAATTAAAAATAATTCTTGAAAAAAAAAAAAGGAAATTAATTAGTGTAAGCTAATTTAATGATAAATCATTTGCATTACAGTGTGAATGTATCACTGGATATGAGCGTAACTTATATACGGGTCAATGCTCTGTGCCAGGTTCTTGTGATCCAACCTTACCGAATCCTTGTGACGTCCGTAAACGTGAAAAATGTATGCCACATTCTAGCGGACGTTATCATATATGTCAGTGTGCTAAAGGTGAAAAGCGACATCATGTTACCGGAATTTGCTGTAAGTTAGCATATTTCAGTTTAGATAATTAATTAATTAATTATTTCAAGTTTAGTAGACTAATAAACATAGATTTAGTTATATATTGAAAACTGAAATTCTGAAGAATTACAAAATTCTAGTATTTGTTAAAATTTCAGGTTAGCATTATTATTCCTGATGACATAAGTCTTCAGATGGGATAACATTTCCGGATTTATTAATTTTATAATTATAATTTTTTTGATGTAAGGTTATCAAGTTTAAATCATAAAAATTATTGTTTTAACATTTTCTTTTTTGCATCAATAATAATTATAGTGCAAGATGAGTGTGCATCGGGTGCTAATGATTGTGACAGAAATGCTCGTTGCATTGATACGGATGATGGATACTTATGTGCTTGCCGGAATGGTTATCTGGATCAAAGTTCCGATTTAGTTAATAAACCGGGACGGATTTGTGTAGCTGAACGAGATGAATGCAAAGATGGTACACATAAATGTTCACCAAATGCTATTTGTACGGATACGGTACAGGGATATGTATGTCGTTGTAAGCAAGGATTTATTGATTTCTCACCAAATCCTCAAAGGTATATTTTTTAGATTATATTTAAATTTTTAAAGCATTTATTTCATTAATATTAAAAAAATTATCGTAATAACAACAAAAAAAAAAAAGTTAAAAAAATTATTTATACTAATAAATATTAATGTTTAAAATAAAGTAATACTAATCGATTCCAATAATACAGTTAACAATGAACCATTTACGTATTGGCAATGAGAATTATTACTTAGTTATTGATAACTTACTTATTGACAATAACAATTATTAACTTACTTATTGGCAATGAGAATTATTGACTTACTTATTGACAATAATAATTATTAACTTACTTATTGGCAATGAGAATTATTGACTTACTTATTGACAATGACAATTATTAACTTACTTATTGATGATGACAATTATTAACTTAGTTACTGACAACGACAATTATTAACTTACTTATTGATGATGACAATTATTAACTTAGTTACTGAAACGGCAATTATTAACTTACTTATTGATGATGACAATTATTAACTTAGTTACTAACAACGACAATTATTAACTTACTTATTGATGATGACAATTATTAACTTAGTTACTGACAACGGCAATTATTGACTTACTTATTGGCAATGAGAATTATTGACTTACTTATTGACAATCACAATTACTAACTTACTTATTGACGATCACAATTACTAACTTACTTATTGACAATGACAATTATTAACTTAGTTACTGACAATGACAATTATTAATTTACTTATTGACTTATACTACTTTCTTTTTTTTTCTTTCAAGCTTTGGTGGTATTATTTGTAAAGAAGTTGTAAATGAATGTCAAAATCCATCACTGAATACATGTCATAAGAATGCAATCTGTATTGATACAGCTGATTCATATAAATGCATCTGCAAAACAGGTTACACTGATTTGGATGAACTTCGAAATCCTGGACGAAATTGTCAAAAAGGTTGCTGATTAATGAAAAATTATTTCAAAAAGTTTAATTTCTTTTTTTCTTTTTTATAAATTTTTTTTTCCTTTTCACTAATGAATTATAATAGTATTAAATTTTAAAAAATTATTTCATTTTACTAATAGATAGAGATACATTAATAGCAACTAAATGAACAACTAAATGTATTAATTTTAAATTTAATATTTTAGAAAGGCATAACGATCGATGTAGACAAGGTAACAATGATTGTGATCGAAATGCTCGATGCATTGAACATGATGGTAATGATTATGTTTGTGCCTGTACAGCAGGTTATCGTGATAAGAGTCCGGATCCGAATCGACCGGGACGAGTGTGCATTCCTTGTATGTTTATTAATTATATTTTTTATCAAAATTTTAAAAAATTTTGCAATTTTTTCCTTTTCTTTTCTTTTTTCTTTTTTTTTTTGATTGCAAGATTTGAAATATAATTTATTTTTTTTTTTTTTTAAAGTAATTCCTGAATGTGATAATCCAACATTAAATGATTGTGATTCACCGGATCGTGCTATTTGCACTGATACTGACGAAGGTTATTTATGCCGATGTCGACAAGGTTTTCTGGATATTTCACCAAATATTACTTCTAAACCTGGACGTCTTTGTAAACCATGTAAATTTAATTTTTACTATAATTTTGATTACTTTACAAATTTACCCAATAACTCATTCATTTTGCTTCAGAATAAATTTTGTATACGTATAAGTTATCGATGATATTTTTCAAATTTCTAGTAGAAAATGAATGCGCTAAGAAAGTGGACGATTGCGCCCAAGATGGTGGAATTTGTGAGGATACGCCAGATTCATATACCTGTCGTTGCGCAATTAATTATTTAGATGTATCATTCGATCGTCAAAATCGCCCAGGCCGAAAATGCAAACGACGTCAGTTTAATCAATTTTTTTTTTTTGTTTTTTCATTTGTTCGGTTTATAAAAAAAGGCTAAAAGTTAAAAAATAAAAAATCTAAGCAAAAAAAAGAAAAAAGGTTTTTTTAGCATTTTTCAAAATATTTTATTTTGAAATTGTTTTAAATAAAATTTAATTCGTATTAAGATTATCTGAAAAAAAAAAAAATGTTTTAAGTTGTTGATGAATGCCAAACCGGACAGAATGATTGCTCTCCTGAAGCAGTATGTACAGATACAGAAGATTCATATGAATGTGCTTGTCCAACTGGTTATATTGATGTATCACCGGATACTGCTCGAAAACCCGGAAGACGTTGCTTACTGAGTGAGTTGCAAAAAAAAAAAAAAAAAGAAGAAACAAAATTATCCGGAAACTTATTTCTCAATTTCATTAATGTATTATTGATTTAATTATTAACTAATTGAAAATATTGAAAAAAAAAAAAAAGAGAAAATGAAAATAAGATAATCCTGTTCAGGAATTAATGAATGTAAAGCAAATCGTCATGATTGCTCACCGAATGCAGATTGTATTGATACAGCCGAATCATTTATGTGTAAATGTCGAGATGACTTTGTGGATGAATCACCGGATGTTACAAATCGTCCGGGACGATTATGTCGACCGGCTTTAATTGATGAATGTCGCCTTGGGAAGCATGACTGTCACGAGAATGCTATATGTCAAGATTTAACACAAAGTTATACCTGTCATTGCAAACCTGAATTTATTGATCAGAGTCCAAATCGGGTTGCATTACCTGGACGATTGTGCATACCGAGACCAACTCCGCCACCGGCAGAATGTCGTATTGATGCAAGTGCATCATCCTGTAAACAGGAACTAAATGAAGTAAATTCATCCATCCGGATTGTTATTTTCAATTTCGGATTTTATACTTTTATCTCTAAAATCTACAACAAATACTTTTTCCACTGCAATTCTATCAATTTATACTGAATGCTAACATTTTCAAATTTTCTATTTATTATTTGATAATATTTACTGAAGATACGATATAATAATTAAATTATTAATGCAAAATATATGATTAGCAGATATTGCAGTGATAACGCAAATAATAATTGATAATAATGATAACAATAATAGCAATCAATAGTTGTAATAGTATTTAATAATACAATAACAATAATTAAAAATGATGATAACAACAATAATAATAATAATTAAGAATGATGATAATAACATCAATAATTATTAAAAATGATGATAACAATAATAATAATAATAATTGAAAATGATGATAACAACAACAACAATAATAATAATAATAATAATTAAGAATGACGATAATAACAGTAATAATTATTAAAAATGATGATAACAATAATAATAATAATAATTGAAAATGATGATAACAACAATAATAATAATAATATTAATAATAATAATAATAATTAAGAATGATGATAATAACAATAATAATAATAATTAAAAATGATGATAACAATAATAATAATAATAATAATAATAATAATAATTAAAAATAACGATAATGGTTAAATTATTTCAAATTTTGTAAAGGTTTGTCGTTTAATTAATGGTCAACCAAAATGCGCCTGTCCAATAAACTATAGTCGTGACAAAGTAAAGAATTCCTGCACTGTTATAAACGAATGTGACTTCCCTCAACTGAACGACTGTCACCCGAGCGCAGATTGTATTGATGAACCAACCTCGTACACGTGTCGCTGTAAACAAGGTTTCAAGGATATATCATCCAGTGATAAGCCAGGACGTATCTGTCAACCACGTATATATTACATTTGTTTATTTGTTTACATATTAATTAACATGATTATTTATATCATTGATAACAATCCGTTTATCAATTATAAATACTTGGAAGTTATCATTTCTCAACTTTTCAGCATTTCTTATTGTTTATGCTTGAATTTAACCAATTATTTCTCATACATTTATTAGTTTTTCAATTAATCTACTGAGATTTCTCACCTCGATAAGCATTAAATATTGTATTAATTTTTCTTCGTTTTTTTTTTGGCTAATTAATTTATTAAACAAATTAAAGTGAATTTAATGAGAATATAAAAAATAAATAAAATTTTAGTAAAACATTTTATGAATTCACTCAGCTGAAATATTACAATAAAAATAATTACTTTAGTATTAAATTTTATTTTATTATAGATATTGATGAATGTAAACTACCACATCTTAATGATTGTCATCAGAATGCGGTATGTATCGATAAAGAAGATGGTTATGAGTGTAAATGTAATCATGGTTATATGGACCGGAAACCGGAACGACCGGGTAGATTATGTAAGAAAATGATCGATGAATGTGCAAGAACAGAACTTAACAGGTGTGCTAAATTTTATTAAATGATATATTTTTAAATGAAACATTTTGAAATTTCAACTTGTTTTTTTTTTTTTTAATGTAACCATAAGTTTTTTTTTTATTTTATTTATTTCTGAGCTATAAAATTTATTCAAATCTTATTTTTAGCTGTGATAAAAATGCAAATTGTATCGATGAAGAAGATGGCTATCGTTGTGAGTGTAAGAATGGATTTTTGGATGTGTCACCGTCACCAACATTCCGTGGTCGTGCATGTCGTGCACTCATTAATGAGTATATCTTGCAGAGTTTTTTAAATTTTAAATTATTTTGATTTTAAGTTATACTTGAAAAAAAAAACAAATAGAACGATGGAATAATTAATATTTAAAATTTAAATCAAATTTTACAAAAAAGAATTTGTAAACTTTAAATTAACTATTTAAATAATTTACAACTCTAATATGATCAATAGTTTTGCTTAATAATATTTTATTTTCTTACAGATGCTCTGATCCTAAATTAAACGATTGTGATAAGACGGCAAAATGCACTGATACCACTGATTCTTATCAATGTGAATGTCCACCAGATTCAAAAGATATCTCTCCAAATCCGGCATTTCCCGGTCGTGTATGTCTTGTTTGTAAGTTTCACTTTCAAAAGGTTATATCTTAAATATAAAAATGATTTAAATATTAAATATAAAAATCATATGTGCTATTAAAAATATAAAATTTGATGTATTAAAAGTTTAAAATTAAAAATTTAAGTATGAAAGAATGAATAATAAAATGTAACCAATAATATAAAATTTATTTCCTAATAACTTAAGTCATTAATCTAATTTTGTTTTAGCCAAAAATTATATATGTTTAAGATTAAACTTTTGCATATTTTAATTTAATCAAATTAAAATTAAATTCTTTCCCATACAGTTGAAAATGAATGTTTGACGGGTAAACACGATTGTGATCCGAATGCAATTTGTCGTGATAATGAGCAATCATTTACATGCGAATGTGCTCATGGATTCACTGATCGATCACCAAATCGTCTCAATCGACCGGGACGTGTCTGTGTGGAGGTAAATATATAATAATTCAATGTATATTTCAATTTAAATGGAATATATTTCAAATTCATCAATTATTTCCATCTTATTTTAACGAACATTGTGATTAGTGATAATAAAATGATAATAATATCAATTTTGAAGAAAAAAAAAACTAACTAAAAAAACTTACAAAAATATAAACTTTTTTTTTTAATTTTAAATTAAAAAATGATGGATAAGAAAAAAGTTTTGGGTTTAATTCGACAAATTTCATTTTATTTAATACAGTAGCAAATTTATGATTGTGTTATTCCATTTAATTGAATTAATCAGTAAATGAATTTAAATATTCTATTATAGCTGATAGATGAATGTACAAGTGGTAGGCATACGTGTAGTGCTCAAGCGGAATGTCGTGATTTAGAGGAAGGTTATACCTGTGAATGTAAAGATGGTTTTATTGATCGATCACCTAATTTACTTACACAACCAGGACGAGTATGTGGTACACCAGGTGAGACTATTTTATTACAAACATTTATTATATTTAAAAATTCTTAATATAAATTTTATAAAAAATTTTTAAAAATTTTATCAAATATTAATAAAATTAAATGTGACAAAATTTTTTTTCAGAAGTTTGTCCATCAAATCATGAATGTAGTTCAGCAGCTGTATGTGAACCTCTTGGTGGTAATAAATATGAATGTACCTGTATTCAAGGTTATGTAGATCAATCACCGTCCGATAAAAAAGGACGTATTTGTGTTCGAAGTAAGATTTATATTAATTATCTTTTTTGCATGCATCAGTAATTATCACTCAATTATTTCTTCCTTCTCTTTTAAATCAATATTTGAATGATATTAATTTTGAAATTATTTAATAATTAAGGTTAATATTTTGATAAGAAATATTTTTAGATAGTGCATGTCGAGATCCACGTTTGAATAATTGTTCACGTAATGCTATTTGTTATGATGAGCCAAAAGGTTATCGTTGTGAATGTGCACATGGATTTGTTGATCGTTCAGCTGATGGAACACAAAATGGATATGTTTGTGAACCACCTGCACCAGTTACACCACCACCAAGTTAGTAGGAATTTTTTGATGAAATTATATAAATTTTTAATAATAATAAAATGAGTAAGTAATTTTAATACATTTATTGCATTGAAACAAATATTTTATAATTTCAATTTATTTTTTCAAATCATTTTTAAGTCATTTCACGAATTTTTTTATCAGCTTTTAAATATTTAATTATTAATTAAATAACTAAAGTTTTAATTTGAATTTTTTGCATCCTTTTTTTTTTGTTTCTTTAATTTTGAAAATTAAAATTAATAAATTTTAGAGCATCCATGCCAAGATCCACTTCTGAATGATTGTCATCCGGCTGGAACATGTCGTGCAACAGGAAAGCAAACATATACTTGTGAATGCTTACAAGGTTATGTAGATCGTTCACCGGATACTCGTAATAAGCCAGGCCGTATTTGCATTCTTACTGAACCGATTTGTTTGGATGCAAATCAGAATGATTGCCATCCGGCTGCTATTTGTAGTGAAACACAAAATGATGAAAAGTATACATGTCGTTGTCGGGATGGTTACATTGATCAATCACCGGATAAAATTAATCGACCGGGACGAATTTGTGTTGAACAAGTTTGCTTTTTTTTTTTCTTTTCAACTTATAATTAATAAATTTATTTCGAGTAAATAAATTACATATTACTCAATTTATGATTTATTCAAATTAATAAAAAATTTTTCTTTTTATCTACTTATTATGAATCATTTGTGGCATATATTATTCCTAATTAAATTTTAATAATTAAAAATAGAATGTATTTTAAAAAAAAAGATTTTCAGGATTAATTCAAGTTTCAATGTAAAATTTATATATATTTTTTACTTTAGATAAATGAATGTTTGGATCGTTCATTAAATGATTGTCATCCATTGGCTATTTGTCAAGATTTACCGGATGGTTATACATGTCGTTGTCCACTTAATTCCGTTGACCAATCACCAAATCCAAGTAGACCTGGCCGTAAATGCTTTCAACAAATAAATGAATGCCGTAATCCATCATTAAATAATTGTTCACGTTTCGCAGATTGCATTGATAAGCAGAATGGTTATGAATGTCATTGTCGTGATGGTTATCATGATGGTAATCCAAAACATCCTGGTACCACATGTATTTACAGTAAGTTTCTTTTTTTCTTTTTTTTTTAAAAAATAAATTTTCTTCAAAAATTTAGATATTTAAAAACAAAAAAATGAAAAATGCCTGAATTATTTATAAATTTCCATTAATCATAATGTGAAATTAACATGAATTGTTTAAAATTTGATATATTTTATTTAAAATAAAATTTGAAATGAGAAATGATTTAAAAGATAAAAAATGTATTTTTGTTTAACAAATTCATAGAAAGAAAAAATTAATGTTATTATCATATATGCTTGCAGTGTAATATAATTTAATTAATAATTATAAGTAATAGAATTTCATTAATTAGCTGATAGTTCAGAGCAATGGTAGCAATAATTTTGATAATTGGAATTGAAATATTAACCAAAAAAAAAAAAAAAACATGAATGAATTTGATGATCTTTAATTTTTAATTTTTGTCTAAAAGAAAAAATCTGAGCAAGGAGACTTCAGAATCTGAGCTATGTAATCAATCTTATGGCTTATGCTATGACTCATATTTAAATACTTAAATAATGAATTTATATGATTTGAAATATCTGATTATGCAATATATAAATTTGACCATTTCCTGATTGTAATAACTGATAACGATAATCAAATTACAGTTATCAATGAATGTGAATCAGCAAATTTGAATGATTGTGATCGTCATGCGGAATGCATTGATCTGGAAGGTGGTTACGAATGTCGTTGTAAAAAACCGTATCATGATGAGTCACCATCAGGACAACCTGGACGAATATGTCGCTTTAATGAATGCTCAGTCTCGACCGATAATACATGTGATAAGAAATTTGCTGTTTGTGAAGATTTAGATGATGGATACACGTGTCATTGTAAAGCTGGATATTATGATAATTCACCGAATACACAGGAACCGGGCAGAGTTTGCATTGGTATTTCAAATTTTTTTTGAATTTAAATTTTTGATCTTTCAATCTTATTTCTAATAAAAAGCAAACTAAGAAGAAGAAGAATAAATATTAAAATTATTAATGATAAAATTTAATTGTATAAATATTGAAATTTATTTTAGAAGTATAAAAAATTCTTCTAGTTTTCCATTAATTTTTGAATTGTATCATTTTTGTTACTACATTCAAATTGAATATAAATAAAATAATTAAATTTTATTTAATTATTTTTTTTGCAGAATTTCAAAAAGAAAAAATTACAACAATTTTACCACAAGATGCACCACGTATTGATGGAATATTATGTGGACGTAACAATTACTGCGCAATAAAACGTAATGAAGTTTGTGTTGGTGGTGTTAAATGTATGTGTCGACCAGGTGACGCACGTGCGACAATAAATGATCGTTGTGAAACTGTCGAGCGTATACCATTTTCAATTCGTATTCTTAATAAAGATACTACAACATTATCATATAGTTCGGAATATGGTAGTAGCGATAGTGCACCATACGTTGAGATAACGCATTTATTCTCGAAAGATATTGGCCGTGCGATGAGTAGTACCACGTATGGGACACGTTACGTAACCACGGATGTTAATTATATTACACATCCAAAAACTGTTAATAGGTATGTTAATTGTTTTTTTTTTTTTTTTTTTTTGAGTCTTTTTTTAAGATTTATAAAATATTATGCATTATACATTCGTATACAAATAATATTTACAAATAAAATTTATTATTTTTTTTTCTCAGTGAATTTTTTTATGTTTAAAAAGAAACACAATATTTAAAAATAAAAGTTATTAATTTTTTTTTTATATTAAAAGAATATAATATTTAAAAAACTATTTTTTTTTTTGGTAGATTTTTTAATATGTATTTAAAAAAAAAATACAATGCTTACAAATAAAAACAGTTAAAAATTTCTTTTTTCGGTGGTTTTTTTTTATATTTAATAATGAAAGCTATTATTGTTTTTTTTTTTTTTTTTTTGATAGATTTTTTTTTAGACTAATAAATTACATAAGCTTACTGCTCAGTTAATCAATTTTATTTAATCAAAACTTAATTAATCAAGCTTAGTTAATCAAATTTTAGCTCTTGGCCAGATGGCTTACTGTTTAACTTTTCGGTGGCACTTCTTCCAAGTGGAACACCAACTGATATTTGCAATTTGTGGGATCAGTTAGCAAAATCAATTCAACGAACAAATGGTGCCATTGGTGGTGGACCACTTCGTGTAGCATCTGATTATGATCAATTAAATCCATGCAGACCAAAGTTACCACATGGTGAAGTATGCGGTACTAATATTTGTAATAATGAACTTGGCGAGGTTAAATTTTTAAAATATTTTCACTTAATTTTACATGAACTTGATAAAATAAAATTCCAACTATTATTAAAATTTTAATGATAAAAAAAAAAAAAACTAAAATAAATATCTGTTAGTCTGTTTTTAATCGTTTAGAGATTGTTGATATTATTAAATTTTTCAATTAATCATATAATTTATATTCCTATTTTATATTTTCTCTTATCTGTTTACATATTCAAATTTTAAAATTATTAAAATATTTTGTTAACCTACCTATGTTTTAGGTATGTATTGCTGGATCTCTTTGTGGTTGCACACACGGTGAGAAGCGTTCATCGCCAACCGATATTTGTAGACCGGTGGAAGCTTGGAATATTGTTTTATGGGTAATGCGAAAAATGATGAAAAATTGATGTACACGGATATTTTAGCAAATCCACGACATATGGTTACCAAGGAACTTGTCAAACGATTTGAAAATGGCATTGGACAGTGCTATCCAAATACTGCATTAGCTGGTTCTTTTGTTACAGCTGAAGTGAGATATTTTTGGAAAATTTTTTCAAAAAAAAAAAATTATACATTAAAATTTTTGAAATAATATAATGTAAAATTTTAATTTTTACTCAAATATTTTTGCACTTTTTTTAGGTTAATGAAATTATGGATCCAATGAATATTAATGCAACATGGGATCGAGGTATTTTATTTAATTCAACTGTTTATTTCCGAAAAGGTTCAGTACGATTACCATCAGATGTATATCATATGCTCATTCGATATATTATGGATCGAAATAATTATCAAATTGGACAAAGTGGCTTATACATTAATAGTTATCAATCAGATCCATTTAAAGCATGTTGGAAGGTGAAATTTGTAAAAAATATTCTGATTTAAAAATGAAAAATATACAAATATATATATATATACATGTTTTCTTTATTGATTCAAGCATCAAAATTTTTGGAAATTAATTATTGACTACTTCTGCTATTTTTATAAAAAGTATTTTTCAAATCATTTAAAGTAAGAATTAATACATTATTATTATATTATTATTATTATTATTATTATGATTATTATCACTATTATTATTAATTATTTTTATTAGAATAATTGTCATCCGAAAGGAATTTGCATTGATCTTGGACCAAATGCTTATCGTTGTGAATGTGGACAAGGATATCGTGATTTAAATCCATCGGATCCTGGAAGACGATGTTTACCTAATACTGGTTATAATGAATGTGAACGAAAAGAAGATAATGAATGTTCTGAAAATGCTCGTTGTATTGATCAGGTATGCATAGATATAATTTTAATGATTCTTCTCAATTTGATTATTCAATAATTTTAATTGATTGTTTAATAAATCATTCAGAAAATTTTTATTAATTAAATAAAGTAAACAGATTAAGAGTATTCAAAAAGTAAATATTATCGTAAAATTTTCAAATTTTTTTTTTGACTAATAGAAAAATTTTTAATAAATTATAATAATTTTAAGGAACATTTATATAAATGTGAATGTTTACCATCGTTTACTGATGCATCACCAAAAGATGCAATTGCTGGAAGTGTTTGTGTTTTGGATTATTGCTCAGATGTAAATTTCTGTCCAAGAAATACGACATGTATGAATGAGGAACAACAAGCAATATGTCAATGTGATCCGGGTTATGTTGATATCCGGAAAAGTGAGAAAAGAACTCAATTATTTGATCAGGATATTTTATGTCTCAAAATGCGTGATATTGATGAATGCGCTCTTGGAATTACCAATTGTTCAGGTTAAATATAATTTTTTGATATTGTAACATATGTGAGCTTAAACAATAAATATTATTTAGTTAAAAATATTTGAAAATGAAATTATAATATAGTTATGTGATGACAAAAGGAATTTACAATTTATTCGTATGCAAATGTCATAAAAATATTTTTTGTAAACTTTATATATTTGAAATTTTTTTGAAATAGAAATCGTAGATGAATTTGTAGAGCTTTAATTAAATTATATTATCTAAAATACTGCATAGTTTTCTTTTTTTCATTTTTATATTTTTTAAATTTGAGAATTTTTATATTTAAAGGTGTTGCGGAATGTGTTGACAAAGCTATAGGCTATGAATGTCACTGTCCGGAAGGTTATGTTGATGGCAATCCGGAAGAACCGGGAAGAGTTTGCGGTGCATTACTTTGTGATCTGTGCAATTCGCACGGTGATTGTGTACACAATGCTTTGACAAATAATATCACCTGTGTGTGCAGTGATGGTTGGTCTGGTGAATTCTGTGATGTGGCACCATCGAAAGCTTCGATGATACTACTTGTTATTCTGGCAGTTCTTTTCCTTCTACTAACACTTTGGTATCTTTTTTGATTTTGATTTTTCAAAAATTGAAATAAAATAGGATTTTTTTTTCTTCTGAATTATATATTTAAACTTTCTTTACAGCTGTTTGCTATATTTCTGCACGAAATGTATCTGTTTCAAGCGTCATAATTTATTATATCGTGAACCATTCACATATCGCAAAGGTGCTTGGCCTTGGTCAACCCTAGAAGCATCAACATCAAGCGAAAGTGGTGCTGATTTTTCAGCAATGAGTGCCGCAGGTCATGAATATTATCCTGAAATTGGTTAGTTTTTTTAAAGCTAAAATTGTGAGCAATAGTAATTTTAACATACAATATTTAACGATGCTATCAATTTGTTGTGTATAAATGTTTTTTTTTTCTTTCTTTTGAGAAATATATAAAACATACACACACTTTTGAAGGAATGAAATTAAACAATTAATTATTTATTATTCTTTTTTTAATGACATTGTTTCATATTGATGAAAAATCGCTTGTAAATTTATGCAAAAGTTTATTTCTTAATTTTCTTTTTCTCAGGTATCCCACGTGCGAAACTAAAATCTGGAAATGGTATGATGGATGATCAGCATCATCGATCGTTAGCCGTATCAAGACTTCATGACTATCTCGATGATGGTATGCGTATTCCACGTGTACATCTCGATCGTGATAATGATGCATTTGATTCTACGTCACAATCATCAAGCGAATATACCATACGTGAAGAAATTAAACGACACGTGATCACTGATGTTACAAGAAAAGAAACCAAAAAAACATTAACCACTGCTGATATTCACGGCACTACCGCGGAATTTCACGTATATCCACCAATTGAAGTTACAACCGAATCACATTCATCATGCCAGGTTAGATTTACTGTATAAAATAGATTTCATTTATTCCATTAAAATTTACAATCATTGTTCATTTTTTATTCTAAATTTATTTTTGTAAAATTTCAGGTTGGAACACATAATTCTAGTTCATTGCTGGATAAAGATGAACAAGAAAGAGGTGAAAGTATAGCAGAATTTAGCATTGGTAATGCACGACGTGATTGGAATGCAACAACGAGTAGAAACTGTGAATTTAGTACGGTTAGTGATAAATAATATCTATTTTATTTCAAATAAATAAACAAAAATAAAAATGATAAACGATCAGTAAAGAAATTAGCAAATATCGATCCATACAAATGGATAAATATATATATTTTCATAATTAAAGTGAAATTATTTGTACTAAAATTAATGATAAGTAAGAATATAAGCATATGATGTAATTTCATTTCATAGGATCGTGATTTGGAATCAGTTATTAGTGATTCAGTAGCTGAAGATGAAGTTTATGATAAGAAAACATCAGTGAAACGATCACATAATTTTGAACCAACTATTGGAGGTGGTACTGAGCGCTATCGGACCGAAATTACTACAACGAAATCAACAAAAGGAGTTTCAAAATATTAAAATTCATTAAATATTTTATTTCAAATAAAGCATTTAATGCCTACCTTACGATTTACTTATTATTAATGATTGTTTTCTTTTTTTTTTTATTAATTATAATAAATTTATGTTACTTTTAGTCGTATAACTTTTGCTATAATTCTATATTATTCAATAATGTTTTCTTGCAAAGTTTGCTAGCTTATATTTCTTGATAATATGTTGGTTTTTTCTTCTTTTTTTTTTTTTATAACGGGATTTTCTTCTTTTGCTGTTTTTTTTTCGTTTGTTTGTTTGTTTGTTTTGTCAAATTTTGTAAACATTTTTTTTCCATATTGACTAGCTGCCTTTTTCCACATATTTTCACATTAATTTGTTCCAATTACAGGATTGAGAATAAGTTTTTTCTTTGTAGATCCTCTGGAAAAATGTTTTGCAATATTTTTTGGTCTATAAAGTATATGCAATATAATTTTGATTTAGAAGCCAACATAGCTCTATTCGATAAATTTTTAGCAATAATATTCCTTCTTTAAATTGAAACTAACAAATTTATATTGTATGTTTGAGATAATAAATTCACATTGCCATAATTTTTCCTCTTTTCATATTTTTTTTTTTTGAAATTTATAAATAAAAAGGAAAAAAAAAATAAATTCAATTGATGTTTTAATATACACTGTTATATATGATCTAAAGTATTTTTATTACAAATGTAAAAATCCTCGACTAGATTTGATTTATTTAAATTAATTAATAATTGCATATTGTTCATTTGCCTCAAATTTTCAATTAAAATTTTTCTCTAGAATCACTTTTTTTTTCAATGTAATCAAATAATTTATTTTTATGTTAATCAAAAATCATTTGAATTAAAAGTATTTTCTCTGTTTTTTTTTTTGTGGTCAAAAGTGCCTAAAGAGTTTTATTGTTTATATATTTATCATGCATCGAATAAATGTCCTTTAATAAAAGAGGTGAATGTGACATTTGTCTCAATTTTTAAGATTTTATGAATTATGCAAAAGTCAAGTACATATTCAATATGAATAACAAGTAAAGAAGATGTATACTATTTATGAAGAACAATTTTTTTTTTTTCTAATAAAAATAAATGAAATTCATTTTGACAATAATTTCAGTTTAGATCCTATGTCTAGTGTTATTGCAGAAAGTACTACTGTAAAAGCAAATTTAGAACTTCTTTCTTACTGCCCTGTTTCCTTGTGAAACAAAGCTTCCTTTCTCGATGGTTCAGATCAGATCGTTGACTTCTCTGTCCTCGATACTGGTAGAATCTCGAATTTGTACTGGTTCCGTTCTATGTACGTATATTGTGGGAGTCTTCGTGAAATACTTTATTATTCAAACCTCAAACTAAACCACAGATTAACATTAAATATTATACAACACACAAAAGTAACTTAATTATAAAACATTTAAAGACACAAGCAAGCTAGACACCTCGCAACCGAGCCATACCAAACAAGGAACAATATTGAATGGCTTTGTAAGGAAGAAAATTGGGAGGGATTTTATGGGTGTTAAGGTTACAAAGTGGATTACAATCATTTCAAACAATAGCCTTTGTTCATTAGATTATAGCTTCGCCATTGTGGCGACAACTTCTATAATATAAACTGACGACTGCTCTCTGTGACAAATTTTGATTTTTTTTTTTTGAAGAAATATTTAGAATTAAAATTGGATGCAAATTATATAAATAAATAAAAAAAAAATGAATGAAATGAAAAAAGCTATATGTAACCGGAAATGATTAGAATAATAGCATAAATTAAAAATTTTTAATGCTAGTATCTCGACAAAACACCTGGTGAAATATAGTAATTACAAATATCAAATGATTATCTTAATATAATTTAATATTCTTAATAATTCACTTTAAATGTTTTAAAGAGAACTCTCTCGTCTTACTTCATTTAACGACTATTTCAATAACTAAATTTTATTTGAGCAGTATTCAAAACCATTTGAAATTATTAAATAGTTGAAATGAATGGGATCATTAATTCATGCCCGACTTAATTAATGTAAATTTTCACAATGTCTACTACAATCATATAAACCTACGACGACTGGAAAATGAAAACAAAAAAAAGCAAAGATAATAATAAGTGACGGAGAGTTGAGATGAAGAATAATAATGAAATAATTCAGTTCTGATTTCAATGGAATAAGTATTTCGTGCAGAAAATTAAGGATGCTTAATGATATTATGATTTTGACAGAGATTTTTAAATTGATAAAAAGGAGAATCCTTCCAAATTAAAATAATAATAATAAGTGCGAGCACTTATTATTTTCTTTTATTTTCTCCATCAAAATAAAATATTAATAGGTGATGAAGAACAAACGGTTTCTTTCTTTTTTATATATAACTTTTATTTATTGTGCAATAAAGTTTGAGTAACGACTCATAACATTTTAGATTAATTTAGATACCTGCAATACTCCACGGCAGAACTTCATTAGCTTGATGAACAAAATTTCATCCGTGCTTCGATGACTTTTACATCATACCTTTTGCATTTGCATTAAAAGGAAATTTACGTAAGCTTTGACGTCATTGCCTTCATTCTTCTAAATAAAGCATCGTTTCCAGCCAAATGAATGATATAGCTTATTTTAATGAAAGTAATTATATAGAAATAAATATAAGCTTACCTTATTGTACAGGCCAGGGTCTCTTATGCTGTAAGTTTACAATTTCATTTCAACTTTATTATATACTTTTCGTTACAACCCATATGCAACAAAGAATTAAAGATATTTTCAATAGTCCTTTTCATGAAAATATTGTTCATTGTTCTAATCAATGAATAAAAGAATTTTAGAGACAAATATGATAGAAGCTTCTGCCATTGATTGTTTATTTTTTAAATCAGTTGTGAAAAAACAGTAGCATGAAAATGACTGTATTCCCAACTTCTATATATTCTATTTTTATTAAGTAAATTCAATATTGTGCTAAACCACATATTTTGATATCATAAAATAATATGAGAGAGAAGAAATTGTTAATAAATAGATTGCCGTAAACAAAATCACGACACGTTTGTTTAGCATATTTATACAACAAACGCCACGTGGTAGCATATTTTACAGCAGTTGGTAATATTATTATTATTCCTTTCATATTATATTTAATTTTTGCAAAAGTGAAAGATGGATTTTTCAAATATTTCACACTGAATTTAATGATTGTTTGCGTAACATCGGCTATTGCTGCTCTCATAACTGATGCAATTAATATTACAAAACTATTTATTTCAATTAAGAAAGCAAATTACATTTGTATGTTTCGCTTTCAATTCATTTAAATTGTCATAAATGTCTCTTTAGTTTCAGCTTGGAATAATAAGACGGTAACATAAAATTGGTACCCACGTAAGGATAAATATGAGATCAAATTTCTCACATTTTCCAACACATTTTTTTCACAGTTCAAAAAATCTATTTTGTATTAAAATGATCGGTATTTTTTCATGCCCTAGCACTATATGCAGTCATAATTTGCTACTTACCTTACGTGAAACCTTTTTTTTATATTAAAAAATTTTCCAATAGGTAAATGTTTTTCCAAAATTTGTATCTCATAATCCATTTCATCTAGTAGCTACTGCTTTCTGATTGTTATGCTAATTGTTAATATTTTGCTTAATGAAATTTTTAATAACTTTACTGAGTGATAAATAACCTTAATATTGCTAACAACTTCAGTAATGTCTTAATAAAATGCTATAAACTACTTTATGTGATATTGGCAAGGTGAAATAATTATCGCTGCCATTACCTCAATTACATTATTCTAAGTGCTGTTAATATGATAATGATAAGATGATCTGACACCTGTTGACTCAAATTATACTAAATTTAGTGTAATATTGCGTGGCGCATTTGTATAACTTTGTTATGCATTGCTTTGACATATTTAACTTGCCAAATGATAAGAATAATAATTTTCAGCAAAATGAACAGCACTTATTCTAACAGCAGTGATTTTATCAATAGTCCAAATGTACCTTTGTGTGAAGGCGTAGGCATTTTCTGCCGTAAGTTTATAGCTTACAATTAAACTTTATCAGCCATTTGAGCAATTCTTAAATACGAATATTCAAAAGTTTTGTCTAAAATTTTCTCATGGAATTTCGAGAAATTCATGTTACCATCCCAGAAGAATGAAATAATTTAGAAAAAACTATTACACAAATTTTCACAAAAGCATTGTTTATTGTTTTTTTTTTCATATATATGTATACTATTTTTATTAAAAAAATGCAATATTATGCTAAGCTACACATTTTGATGTCATAAATTAATATAAAGAGAGAAGAAATTGTTAATAAATAGATTGCCGTAAACAAAATCACGACATGTTTGTTTAGCATATTTATACAACAAACGCCACGTGGTAGCATATTTTACAACAGTTGGTAATATTATTATTATTCCTTTCATATTGTATTTAATATTTACGAAAGTGAAAGATGGATTTTTCAAATATTTCACACTGAATTTAATGTTTGTTTGCGTAACATCGGCTATTGCTGCTTCTATAATTGATGCAATTAATGTTGCAAAACTATTTATTTCTATTACAGAAAGCAAATTACATTTGTAAGTTTCGTTTTCAATTCATTTCGATTCATTTCCAATTCATTTAGATTGTCACAAGTGTTTTTTTAGTTTCAGCTTGGAATAATAAAGTGTTTGGGATAATAAAGCACTGATGTAAAATTGATACCTACATAAGGATGAATAGAAAAAGATCAAATTTCTCACATTTTTTTCGCAGTTCAAAAAATCAGATCTATTTTGTATTAAAATGATCGATATTGAAATTCCATGATCTGACAATTTGATCAACTTATAAAGCAATCGTTGCATTTTTAGATTTGAGATTCGAGAATGGATGCGATTTTATGTCAAATTAGGAAGCATTTGGTTTCATGCCTTAACACTCTATGCAGTCATAATTTGTTATTTACCCTACGTGAAACCTTTTTTTTATACAAAAAAATTTTCCAATAGGTAAGTATCACTCTTCCTTTCTCTTACTTTTTACGATAGAAAATTATTATTATATTATTTTAATGTGAAATCTCAAAATGTATGTGTTGAAATAAAGCTTTGATTTGGAGTGTAATATATGAAGGCTATTTCATTTTCTGTTCTTTTTTCCGCACAAAATTTCATTTGGTCTTTCCTACTGAAATGTATTTTCTGGATTTGAATTGAAATTATTGATGGTTTATTATCTTTTCTCTATTTTCAGGAGTCAAAAACCATACTACGTTGCATTACATACTTCAATCCTTATTTGGAGTACTTCTGTAACTTATCTATTTACAGAATTCAAATATCGTATACCTTATTTTCTAACACATATCACATTGTTTATTTCATTATTCGTTGTTGCTCTAATAGTAAGATTTTATGAATTTTGAAATTGTAAGAAATTCCATGAAAATAATTATATTCCATAGAATGGGCCATTCCAGCACCAAATATGATTGAACAGTAAACAGTGTAAAGTATTTGAGAATGTAATTTTCCAGGTAATTGCAGGTAATTTCATTTCAACTATCACATACTTCTCCAAACTCAATGATAACTTTAAATGAAATTATCAATGATCTCTGCAGCAATAATCATTTCGTTATTGCAGGGATCGTTTAAAATAAGTAAGTATAAACCACTCCGTGTTGACTCTATTCGAATTGCAAAAGCGCAACAGAAGCGTTTATATTCATTCATTTTATATAGTTATTCCATTGAAATCATCACTTTGCCTATGTTTAGTAAATTTTTATTATTTTTCTACAATAATATCATTTCCAATTGATTACTAATAGTGAAAACTTATAATAACATTTGATGCATTTACAGACACTCTTTCATCTCTCTTTAAATTACTCAATCGAAAATCAAAACATATAATCAGTTAATGTACTTTGAAGCTTTTTAGCATCTTTTATTTTATCAATTTTTTTACTCAAAAGTGAGATTAATATATGTATATTTTAGTTAACGCATGCGCACATACTTTCTGTATATTTGCTGGTTGCGAAAGCGATTTTCTTGCTAGTTATTTCAAAACGATAATTAATTTAATTATTTATTACTTTTATGAGGTAATTAATTAATTAATCATTGCTTTCCATATCATTGATTATCTTTTATCATTCCCAGTAATTCCTCTTTCTTTCAGTGTCACATAATTTTAGATGCGATCGATCGCTATTATCACCATTACGATTCTTGCTCTTGAGCCATATCGCCGTGCAACTTTTTCATTGTTTAGTAAAAGAAAATAGATTTCGAAAGTGGAATCAATTCAAACGGTAAAAATATACTTTGTAAAAATACTAAATGAGCAGAAAATAAGACAGAATTAAATCTTACTGAAATGACAGCAGTATTTTAATCAATTTTTTTTTACCTGATTTTGCATTTGGATTCCATTTCTATAATAATAATTTACATATAGCGAAGGAACATTTGTGTAGGAAGAAATGCTTTGGTCGCTAAAAGAGACCAATGCGAAATAAGCAAGTGCTGTCACAAAAAATGACAACGAAAGGTCACATCTGGCGGTGTTGACAGAGCAGAACGGTTTTTAATACGTTGTCTTTTCTTCGCAAGACAGATTCCACATAGTTCTCAAAGACACTAGCTGGCCGATGTATAATAATATATATCCATGTCGTCCGATTTGAGGCTAAGTGGATGGCTGATGGTGATGGATTTGTTTAAGGCTGAGATTGTTGAGATAGCCAGTAGCGAATTCAATACAGATCGCAGTCTTAAGGCAGCGATTATTGTTCACCCTGGCGATGTGACCTAAGCCCTAAACAGCGTAATTGGGTCTTAAGCAATATCACCTACCTGCTGGTGATCCTTGCTTATTATATTAGTCAGGTGATAAGTATAGTGGATATTTAGGATGGGCAGAGAGAGCGCTGATGGTACCGTTCAAGGAGTCACAGGTGATGATTTCAGTTTTTGATAAAAAAAATTTTGATCGCAAAAGAAGTGAACAGTAAACATTAATTTTGATGTTTTTCTTCAAGTATCGTAAAATGGGATCTGATATGAATGGAATATTTTGCAGAGAAAGCGATGTTTGATCAATCTTTATTTTATTGAGATAAGATTATTATGATCATGATCGTAGATATTGAATAATATTGGAAATGAGAGCAGTGAATGTCAGATTGCTATCCAGAAAAATTAACTAAGTAATTAAAGATCATAACTCTTTATATATAGTAAACATTAACTCATAACAAGATTGCAATGACTTGCAATACAAAGTGTTGTTAATCAATAATCAGGTATGGATGATAAGGTGACAAGTCGCAAAGGACATCAGCTAAACGAAGAATTAAAAAAAAATAAAAAAAGCATACAACAAAAAAGATCCCTAAATAAGAAACTGATAAATGTAAACAATCCAGTTAGGGATAAATTCCAAAACCATTATTCAAAAATATTCTTTGTTAACAAACAAATGCAAATATGTTTATTACAGAAAGATCTATTAATTATATGAATTTAATACAATTTTATTTCTAAATATTATAATTCCATTTTTTTTTTCAACATTAAATGCTTATTGTTTCATACTTTTTTACGAAGTTTCTAAATATTCTGTACGTCTTTGTTAGTTTGTTGTCACTTGATAGAATCCAAAAGAATGATACTTCCTGGATAGGTTATTACTGGACTGATTTAAACTCAGATGAATCTATGATAATATAAGGAAATTAATAATCGACCGGGTGGTTTCGGCTTGCACACTGAATTCCTACTTTAAATTAATGTTCAATCAAAAAAGCGCCTGCAACAGATCATATTGGGAAACTTAGAAGGATATTCTAGTAGTTTCACGATTTGTCATAAGGTCTGTCGCCACAATGGCGAAGCTATAACCTAATGAACAAAGGCTATTGTTTGAAATGATTGTAATCCACTTTGTAACCTTAACGCATAAATCCCTCTCAATTTTCTTCCTTACAAAGCCATTCAATATTGTTCCTTGTTTGGTATGGCTCGGTTGCGAGGTGTCTAGCTTGCTTATACTTTATTATTGTAATGTTGTATAATTTTTAATGTCAATCTGTGGTTTAATTACCCAAGTTTGAGGTTTGAAAAAAAAAGTATTTCACGAAGACTCCCACAATATACGTACATAGAACGGAACCAGTACAAATTCGAGATTCTACCAGTATCGAGGACAGAGAAGTCAACGATTTGAACCATCGAGAAAGGAAGCTTTGTTTCACAAGGAAACAGGGCAGTAAGGAAGAAGTTCTAAATTTGCTTTTACAAAAGGTCCTTTTCTGCTAACAATGCCAAATGCTTTGATGAGTCAACAACGGTCACCTAGGGTCACCCTCGAATAGAAGTGCTTCTGCATTAGTGAACACTACTGCATTTAGAAATATTCTTTGCAAGAATTTTATCAACTGCAGAGAGTGATAAATTCCATAGAAATTATCGAACTATTATTTCTGATAGTTAGAGTAAATTTGACGTAATATTTATAATTTCAGTTTACCTGAACAAAGACTGTGTAACCACACCATTTTCATTTAAACTACCTTCTTCACGTGGTTACGAAGCGTAGTAACGTCATTGTTAATGCGTGATAATTCATGGGCAACTAGAACAGAATAATACCTGTCTTCATTCAAAGGTCAATTTGATCACAGACCATTGGTCACAATTAGCCAACTAGAGTCATTTTTGTCGCGAATTTCGAATATTGCAAATTTCAAACTAAACTAAACTAAGGAAACAATTTCAACCAAAAATTAAGCTAACATTGCGATATGCAAAATTATGAATCATTTAACCAATTTTTCATTCTCAATGAACCATTTCCTCATGCGTTTGAATCGAACTAATTTCTTATTACCATTGATAAAAGCTAAAATATCCGGAAGTTTATTACACATGCAAATATCTTCTCATCTTTTATCTAATTGTTATCAAATATTCTTCGACTTAGGCATTTTTGTTCAGAACCTGTCAAATATTGAAAATTATTTTTATTCTAACTTATATTTATTCAATATAATTGTGAGAGATTCTTATAAATCTCTACTGTACGACTTTTTTCACCTTAACAATTACTTCATGCTCTATTATTTTTATTAATAAAATTTTATTCGAAGTATTTCGATGTTATTGCCAGTAAAAGCTAGAAAATTATAGTTACTTCTTTTATCGCTTCCTTTTTTCTTCATTTTCTATTTATATTTTTAAACATATACTTTAAATGTTATACAAATTCAATACCATATTCAGTAAATAGAATTCGAGAATTTGTATTATTTATCGAATGTAATGCTATAATCTAATCACAGATGCATAATATGAATTTGATATGATAAAAGATATTGATTGATCTTTAATTACCAATGATTAATTACACAGTTATTTAATCAAATTGTATACTTACTTCAATGATTGAATTATTTTTTCTTACACCAACTCTCTTGATAACAATCCTTTTTTTCATGAAATAATTAACAAAAAAATTTGTTCAAAATTTATCACACAGAATTTCAGTTTACTTTTTTCTCTTCTATTTTACTATTATTGTTACTCTTCAATTCACTGTAATAATGCGAAAGAAAGAAAAAAAGATTGTTTGTAAATTTTTTTTTTTATGTGAAATTCTCTCATGCAGATGAAATTTTCGAAATTAGTTTATTAATTGCATATATGTATTTCTTTTCTCAGATTTTTTCTTTTTTTTTTCTTTCGCTTCAATTAAATTTATTTATGAAATAAGGGAAGAGAAATGTAATAGTCAGCAAAAAAAAATACGATTTTAATTATTGAATTTTTTGTTAATTGGATTCTAACACATTTTCGATTAATTTCAATTCTAGTAAAATTAAGCAACTCAAACTTTCTTTTACAGAAAAATATTATTTGAAATTATTTGAAAAGTTTTCAAACTTGAAAAAATGCTATTTTAACAGCATCTATGCAACTGATTGTATTTGGCATATGCTTTTTCTTGAGTCTTATATAAGCATTAAAATGTATTGGTGGTTATTTACTCAGCGTATTTCAGTAATTTACTTTTTTAGAGCATTTTATACCGCAATCGGAAGTTAATGACTTATTTACTGGAAGTATGTGATAAATTAAATTAAAGCTTGCAATTTTTTTTTTCTTAAAATTTTACAATGAATCAATAAAAATGAAAAATTCTAATCAATTCCCAAAAATATTATAATTCGATGGCCATTTTTATTTTCTAGTTTATTAATTAATTGAACATCCTTGTAATTAATTTGTAGTAATGATTAATGTCAAAATTATAATGATTACTTTTCAAATATTGTAACAATACTGGTTATAAATAATATTAATATTGTAATATCACGGCATTATCTTCTATCATTTGGTATCATTTACGACTTATTATTTTTTTGTCCTCATTAATTACCTCTATCATTATTCATATCATTATCATATTTATAACTTATCATATATAATTAGATTTTACTTATTGTTTTAGCCAGAAATGTATGAATAAAAACGAATGATTTACTATACCTAACTTTACGAAAAGAGATTTATCATAATGTCCTGGTAATTACAAATATATTTTAATGAAAATAAAAAAAAAAGAAGGGAAGCATTCTTGTTGATTTAACAATTTTAGAATGTTTATTCATACAATTCTTTACATATGTTTGGATTAATGTTGAAAACTATATATGGATTTGTATTAAAACTTAAATCTAGAAATCGTTAGTATTACTATCACAATGCAGTAGATAAAATCTACAATTCCATTGTACTAATGAACTTTTTGATCGTTTTCATAATATCATAAACATATTTATTAATAAATGTTAGAAAAATACGATGAACTACTGCTGAAGAAATCACATTTAATTGTTCAAAATGGTGCGTATTAAAAGTGATAATTTGCAGGTAACTATGTTATCCCAGAAAAATGGGAAAAGACAGGTAAAGGTAAAAGATTGGCATTCTAAATTAAAACTTATCAAACTAATGTTAATTAAACTTATCATATACATAAATAAGAATCTTTGAAATAATACTAACAGCTT